TCAGTACATGGCAGATACTTTCCAGTCTGGCTGTGGGTTAGCTGGTCCTGTCTTCTTTGTGACTGTAAAAGATGTGAGGCTAATTAAAGACCTTCCATTAACTGTAGGCACTAGTTTTCCACTGACCTGTGAATGTCCCAGCAGCCAGGCTGGCACTGCCTGTACAGCCAGGCAGTTGTGACATCTTGTACAGCTTCCTGATGAGCCATCTCTCCTGCCGGGATTCTGGCTGTTTGAAGTCATGCACTTTTGAAAAGTTTCAGAGAAATGTGCAGAAGATCCAAAGGAGTCAGCCCCACTTGCAATCAATGTTAAAAATACTGCAAGTAAAACTACAGTCGAGAGAGCTATGCCTCAGGGAGCTCTATGCAGTTAGCTAGGAACTGAAGATCCTACCCTGGGGAACCAGCTGACTTTATCATTGAAACCAGGTGATGAGAGGAACAATGGCGGGAACAATAGCACTTCACAGTGCTTGCACTGATGAAAAAATCACCTTCCCTAGCTGAGTCTCTAAGTCTATGAGTATTTAATAAATAAACACCGGAGATCAGAGGCAACAGCTGCAGAATGTAGATAAAAGAAGGCTCAGGGTGGCTGAAGTTTGAAAAGAGGGGCTTTGTTTTAATAACTGCTCCCAAGTCATGCCTTGACTGTCCCGCACAGTCTGGCCAAGATCTGCATTCAGCCTGTGCAAGCTTGGATGAGTAAAGAGGCTTCATCTATCAAATTAATATTATACCTTTCATTATAGGGGCAATCATGAGGATAAAATGATATAATATCCTGGATTTGTTTCTAACTAATATAGGAATGGAGAAAAGGTCAGGATAGAGATGAATCAAGATTGACCAGGAGATGACAGCTGAGGCTGAGCACTAGACACCTAGAGAGACTCATTATACTATTCTCTCTGCTTTAGTCTGAAATCGGTTGAAATTTTCCATAATTAAAGCTTTTATTAAAAATGAAATCAGCAAAAATGTAAATCTGTAAGGGACAAAGGATTGAGGGGTTGAGGTAGATTCTGCTCTCAGATAGCCACTTTGCATTCAGTATGTAGCAATTTGCTTTGGGGAAGATAATTTTCAAGGATAAATGAGTTGGGCTAATATAATACTTTTTTTCTGTGTGAGCACGGTTTGAACAAGTCCGCACACATTCTGTGACCTCTTACATCATAGAGTCTACTTATGAGAAAATGAAAGAAACAAATTTGACCTTTCAGTTCATAAAAGTCAGTCATATTATGACAGGGCCTGATATGGTTTTTTGTGTGTGGCAGAAGGTAGGTGTTAGTTCTCTTTCAGATATTTATAGGTGTTTACATTATTGGGAAGACACTTGGACTTCATAGTGTTTTTTCATCTGTTCTCAGATTTTACTTTATTCTATTTTGTTAGCAAAATGCTATTTCCCACTTGAAAGTCTATACATTGCTTTACTTTGGTTTATGAGAGCAAATGTTTCAAATCAGCATAAAAGGCAGAATATTTAAACATGCTCACAGCATGATCAAATGAGCTTGTGATTCAAATTTCACTTTTAAGGGATTTTAATTCTGGGATGTGGGTAATAGGTTAGGAATAGGAGTGTAGCTTACTGATTATACACTAGGATAATAAGGGTTATTTTCAAGATCTGCTCACACAATCTAGGACGTGATTTGAATACACTGATAACTTTTTGATGTATCTTAAAATGTGACTATCCTTAGGGTAGGTTTTGTCAGCCACAGGAATCCTCAAGTTGGGCAACACATAAGCTGGAGTGTGTAAAGCTTCTCCATAGAGTTTGGGGCCACTTAGATAGCTTTAAGTGAATACCTTCCCACTCCTTAACTCCTTGCTAATTGTCCCTTCCCACCTAGCCTGTAGCATAATAGCCATCCCCTAGTGCTTAAAGGAAGACCTAACTCACTCTCACACATCTGGCCCCAGGGTGCAAAACTTGGAGAGAAGGAGGGAACAGAGCAGAGCAAGGGGAAGAGTTCAGAATATTGGTGTCATGTTAACAACTATATGACTGTAAGATTGATTACCAAATTCTTCTGTTCATTGAATGATTAAAATCCTTCAGCTGCCAACAAAAATGAAGGACCTAATGGAGTTGTCTTATGATGCATCACTGAAAAAAATCTTTGGTAAAACGTTATTAGGTGATTTTGGCATGTAATTCCAGAGTTTAAAAAATTAGTTGACACTGCTTTAACAAAAGTCCGTCTACTTATTTGTGCAGACAAGATGTCTCAGCAGCAACATTTATAAAAACAAAAAATGCTCACTAGATCAAGCATCCAACTCTTGATTTTGGCTCGGGTCATGATCCCAGGGTTGTGGGATTAAGTTCTGCATCAGGCTCTGCACTGGTCATGCAGCCTGCTTGGGATTCTCTGTCTCTCCCTCTGCCCCTCTCCCCACTTGTGTGACCTCTCTCTCTCTTTCTTTAAAAAAAAATCAGGATAGTATTTGTACAAAAATAATAAAATCACCTAGCAATAAACTTAGCCAAGATAGTGAAAGATCTATACTATGAAAACTATAAAACACAGTGAAAGACATTGACGGCAACACAAACAAATGGAAAAATATTCCATGGTCTTAGACTGAAAGAACCAATATTATTAAACTGTCCATACTACCCAAAGCAATCTACAGATTTAATGCAATCCCTATCAAAATGCCCACAGCATTTTTCACAGAACTAGAACAGTCAATCCTAACATTTGTATGGAACCACAAAAGACCTAACCATAGCCAAAGCAATCTTAAAAAAGAAAAAAACAATCCCAGACTTAAGATATCCTTCAAAGTTGTAGTAATCAAAACAGTATGGTTCTGGCACCAAAATAGATATATAGATGAATGGAATAGAGCAGAGAGCCCAGAAATAAATCCATGATTATATTTTCAATTAATCTTCAAGAAAGGAAGCAAGAATATGCAATGGGAAAAAGTCTCTTCAACAAATGGTGTTGAGAAAACTGGACAGCTACAGGCAAAGGAATGAACCTGGACCACTTTCTTACACCATATACAAAAATAAACTAAAATATTAAGGACATAAATGTGAAACCTGAAGTCATAAAAATCCTGGAAGGGAGGACAGGCAATAATTTCTCTGATGTCAGCCATAGCAACATTTTTCTAAGTACATTTCCTGAGGCAAGGGAAACAAGAGCAAAAATAAACTGTTGGGACTACATCAAAATAACAACCTTCTACACAGAAAAGGAAAAAACAAAGCTAAAAGACAGCTGATGGGATGGGAGAAGATATTTGCAAATGAAATACCTGATAAGAGGTTAGTATACAAAATATATAAAAAACATACACCTCAACACTAAAAAACAAATAATCTGAATAAAAATGGGCTAAAGACATGAACAGACACTTTTCCAAAGAAGACATCCAGATAGCAAACAGACACATGAAAACATATCACTAATCATCAGGGAAATGCAAATCAAAAATATTATGAGATATCGTTTCACACCTGTCAGAATGGCTAGAATCAAAAACACAAGAAACAAGTATTGTTGAAGACGTGGAGAAAAAGAAACCCTCATGCACTGTTGGTGGGAATGCAAACTGCTGCAGCCATTGTCAAAAACAGAGAGGTTCCTCAAAAAATTAGAAATGGAAGTACCATATCATCTAGTCATTCCACAACTGAGTATTTACCCAAGGAGTATGAAAATACTAATTGGAAAAATATATGCACCCCTATGTTTATAGCAGCATTATTTACAATAGCCAAATTATGGAAATATCCCAAGTGTCCATCAAAAGATGAATAGATAAAGAAGATGTGGTATATATATAATGGAATATTAGGCAGCCATAAAAAATGAAGCCTTGCCATTTGCAACAACATGGAAGGATCTAGAGGGTACAATGCTAAGTGAAATAAGTCAGAGAAAGACAAATACCAAATGATTTCACTGATAAGTGGAATTTAAAGAATGAAACAAAGGAACAAAAAGAAAACGAGACAAACCAAAAAACAGACTGTTAGCTATAGACAACAAACTGACAGTTACCAGTGGGGAGGAGTGTGGGGGGATGGATGAAATAGAAAACGGGAATTAAGAGTACATTTATCATGATGAACACTGAGTAGTGTACAGAATTGTCAAATCACTATATTGTACACCTGAAACTAATGTAACACTGTATGTTAACTATATAGGAATTTTTAAAATATATAAAAATTTAAAAAGATTACAGTTGACTTTAAAAGAAAAACAGGATAGTGTTGATGCTGACTCTGTCTCATTCCAGCAGTGGCTAATATTCATTAGTAGACACATGAACTAGTTTTGAAAACATATATCTCATTAAGAGGGGAATTTTAATTAATTGTTGATATTATTTAATAGTCAAAAAGTTTATATTATGTTTTTACTATTTTGACCAATTTTGTTTGAATAATTATAACTCCAATTAGGAGATTTATATTTGATGCTTGAAAGACATGTTCTCAGGAAATCTTTAACCTTTTCAAAATTTAATGTGCATATTTTCATAGCAAAGAGATACGGTATGGTAATTAACTAAAAATATTCAAGCACAAAATTATATTACATTAAGATAAAACCATGTGAGGGAAATGAAATGGAAACAGAAATGCAAGAGGGAAGAGGACCAGTGTCAAATTTCTATTACAAATTTCTATCTGAAAATGTTGTAGTTTTTTTAATGATGGATATCAAATTACATATGGCGTTTCAATTCCATTGGATGTTGGAAGAGTAGTGGAATCATTCTATTTTTAACTGTGAGTATTCTAGTATGTGAGAAATTACATACTTTATAACTACTTAAAACTTTTGAAAAATTTATTTACTAGTTAAAAATATGAAACTGAGATATGTAAATAAATGTTTGAAGGTCACAGGTCCACAGCATATTGGATGATGCACTGGATCCTGAAGAGATACGCTGCATTTACAGACTTTCCCATCGAATCTAACTGAAGATGTTCCCTTTGTTCAACAGGACGGTCTGACACCCCTGCACTGTGGAGCAAGGAGTGGCCATGAGCAAGTGGTGGAAATGCTGCTTGATCGAGCTGCCCCCATTCTTTCAAAAACCAAGGTAATTTCTTCCCAAGTTTTTGGACACTGACTATATGTACCTTTACATCCCTTTACTGCTTCTCTAATGTAGCCTTTTGAATCATGTAGACAAAGGACATCATCCTCATTTAGTAATTAGGATAGCCTTGTTCACCAAATCTTTGGAGAACTTCAAAATAATTTTGGGTTTAAGAAGCCTTTTGCTGGAATGCACTCTACCACAAAGTAATTTGTGTATGTTTCGCATTTGTTTATGCTTTGTTTTGAGAACACTGACTGCTTGATTTTATCCTATATTTTCATAGTTCAGCAACGATTGCTTATTGGGGAAAGAAAACACAAGATCTTTAGTCTCTAAAGCCTGGGTGCTGGCTCTCTTTCTCCAGCCCCTTAGTTTATTTCTTGAGAGTTTACAGATTATTAAAGAGGATGTTATTTAACTGATAAAGGCTATAAACTTTGGAAAGATTGCATCTTGCTTGGGACTTTGGGGAAGTTGACATATCCAAAAGGAATGCATCATGACTGCCCAGCAAATAATGTTTTGCAAAATGTCTTCTGGATTTTTATGATAAAACCTTTTGACGCTATTTGAAAAACAAGAATGTTTGTAAATAAATTTTGGTACATACGAACTACTTGAGTCCCTACTATTTATATTAATCAAATCAGTGATTTCTGAAAGCTGTATTAAGCTATATAAAGAGCCTTAATTTCTAAATATCATCAAAACAGCAAAAACACATATTACTCCTGTTTGCACTCTGGTGTTTCCTCAACAACCCTTGTGAAGATGTATCATGGTTGAGGTGGTCTGAATAATTCCGTCATTCATTTGAAATGTGAGCCCTGGGAGGTATTACCCAACAGAATTAAACAGCCACAATGTTTCATCGTATGCAATGACACCTTGGCCTTTTGAGTGCTTCTCATCTAAGCCATTCTGTTTGTTCTTTTTCCTTTCGCCTAGTCTGTATCTTTTTCCACCTCTACTGCTGTCTTCAGAGCCACCTCATGGCTCGTAACTGAGCCATGTAATAGCTTCCTCACTGGTCCCACATTTCCTTCCTCAATCCTTTCCAGTCCTGTTCCCATTTTTCAGTCAGATTGGCCAGATAAACTGTCAACTGAATCATGTCAACCTCCTACCTAAAAACTCTCTGATTGATTTCCTTGTTCTCTTAAAAATTAATTTTCACTTTATCAAAGCAATAAGGTGTAGTTAAAAATAAAATTGCTGTCTCATCTTTTCTTCCTTTTGTTCATCTCATTATCTTTTCTTTCTTTCCAGGAAATTTCCTTGAGTTTTTCTTCTATGCTTCTAATGTGCAAGAACATTTTCTTATACTCTGGTAGCATCTTTTCTTAAAGTATCTAGTTCTTGTTTTATGGATGCAGCATATTCTATTACCTTTATGAGAACACTCAAGATAACTTTCCTTTCATTTCTTTTCTGCCTCTCTTCTGCCCCCAATTCCTCATATTTTCTCTTTTCTTTTTATTGGCTTTGGCCCTTCGTTTCATGTTGGGGGTTTCCCACAAATGTCTGTTCCTGACCATAAGTGTCAGGCACTAACATTTGAGTGGAAGCTCTATGCGAGTGTAGGCAGGACCCTACTCAGGCCTATCAGGCCTATCAGGTGGTGATGGGCTGGAAGGGTCCCCTGATGTCACAATCAGTTGCCTTTTTTTCTGGGAAGACCAGGTTTTTTTTGAGAGATGAATCCTCCAATCTTTTGCAGTTTGCCTGTGTGAACACATTCAGAGTAAGAAAAAGGAAAAGGGGCTATATTCTCCTGATCCTCCATGCATACTTCAATCATTATAATGAGAACAAATATTTACATGGTGGTTCCTACATAGCAGGCTCTAAGCACTTTATATATATATATATATGATATATATATATATCAGTCCATATAATCCTTACAATGAGGCACTAGTATTACTATTATGCCCTTTTTATAGATGAGGAAACTGAGATCCAAAGAGGTGACTTTCTCAAGATGGCTTGTAGCAGAACAAGGATTTGAACCCAGGCAGTCTAACTCAAGAGACTATACTCTTGACACCCATACTGTCCTTCCTTTTTCTGTGAGCACCTGATCTCAGTCCAGACCTTCACCACACCCCTCTGCTCTGCGTGGGCTCTTGCATCCAGAATCTCTCTGCTTCAATTTCTTGAGAGACTAAATTCCTGATTTCCTATAAGGGACATGGGGCAGTTATCTGGCTCTGCTGGATCAGAAGGGCCTGGAAACCTGACAGTTCCATACACTGGCGAACCAATCCTGGTTTTGGCTCCACACCTCATCTTTATCTTACGAGGTGTCCTGTGTTTCCATATCCTCTGCCTTTGGGAATTTTGAAAGATAAATCAGTTTTCTTTATTTTACCCAGTGGTATGTTGGAGCCAGATCATCGAGCCTATTGCGTTCACCTTTTTCCAATTCTGTATTCACTGACATGATGCTGATGGTTTAAAATCGATTACATCATGGGAATTGGCAAATGCCACATATTGGGGTTTCTCTTTTTCAAAGAGCTGTTCTTAAACATATACCAGCACATTACTGCTTATACCCCACCACAGACAATAGCATTCAGCCTTCTCTCTTCTGCTGGATGAGTTAACACACTAAGCCCTCTTTTCAAATTCTAAAATTTATAGACATCTCACAACTGTTTTTATTTCCTTTTCTGTGTGTGTATCAGGGGTGTGTATGGGTGTGCATGTGAACACACATGCATGTGCCCTTGTGGAATTTATCTTTTAAATTACTTTGAAGTTTGGAAAAGGGTAGATAAACATCATATCTACCATGTTCATTCAAAAGTGTCCCCCTGCACTAATAAATTCCTTACCAGAATCTGACTATCTCTCTGCCTTATCTCTCATTCTGCTCCTCCTTTCGCTTCCTAGAATACACCAAGTTTGTCCTCATTTCCTGTGCCTGCAGATTGTGTTCCGTCAGCTTGTCCCAGATCTCAGCAGTCTCCACACATTTTTCAATTCACATGTTTTCTTCTCAGAGAGGCCTTCTTGTTAGTTTACTTTCTTGACTGCTCTCTCTCTCCTCAGTAAAATGAAAGCAAGGACTTTGCATCATTCAGTGTAGTACCCCCAAGCACCTAAACCAGCCCCTGACATATCATAGACTTCCAATAAACCTTTCCAGAATGAACATTAGGGGAATGAATGCAGTGCTGACTTTAAGATCATTTGTCTAATTCCTCAAGGCTTTCATCTTTCTGAGCTAATAAAACCCATCACACTGGATATATGCTTTCAGCTTTATGAGGGTGCAGTATACAATAAGACCTCTCTCCCTAGGGCAGGTGATCTTCACTTTCTTGTCCTTCTCCAATGGCGTTACCTACTCATTTATTATTTTGTGTGTCATTAGAGAATTTCCTTCTTTTGTTGACACTGCCTCCCATTTCTACCGGCCACTAAGTCATTTGTTTTCTAAGATTTTGTTTCTTTGTTTACTTCACCATTTGTGCTATGACTGTATCAAAACATAAAGCAAAGGAATGTCTTGGCAGGAAGTACAGGAATGCATGTCTGCATACGCTGGTGGGTGCTAGTATCTCAAATGAGAAATGTCCCCATCCTTTGTTGCACATTAGTGTCTACTTTGATACAAAATGTTGGAGTGGAATTTTTTTAATGTCTATTTATTTTTGAGAGGGAGAGAGTGCACACGAGAGAGCGGGGGAGGGGCAGAGAGAGAGGGAGACACAAGATCAGAACCAGGCTCCAGGCTCTGAGCTGTCAGCACAGAGCCCAATGCAGAGCCCAAACTCACAAACTGTGAGATCATGACCTGAGCAAAAGACATATGCTTAACAGACTGAACCACCCAGGTGCTCCTGGAGTGGAGTTTTTAGGGAGAAATATTCTGATTGACCCTGCATGAAGTCTTCACATAAATATGTGTTGAGCTCTTTCTATATACTCATGGCTTTCTGTGGGGCAATATGGGAAAATTATAACCCATGAACCTCTTGCTTTCAAGGAACACAAATCGTTGAAATACTTGACAGTGAGTGAATGATACCATGAGAGTGCCTAGAGGCACCTTTTCTTCCTATCTTGATCTCCCATTTTATATCATTTATAGATAAATTAAGGGAAATAACTTGATGACAAAATTTTGGAAAATGAATTTGTGGTCATATCCTACCCCCTACCAGATATGTTAAACTATATTGTAGGGATTAATAGAGCTTCTCTTGATAATTGGATTCTCTAGAAATTTCCAAGTTTCCTCAACTTTGTCTCCACATTTAAAGGAACCATTCTTGAAAAGACTCACCTCTTAACACCTTGCTTTTGCCTTCACTGGGAAACATGTACTGGATGCTAAATGTCACTCTAGCCTTTTTTTAAAGGCTTTATTTACCTTTGAGTCTATTCATTTCTTCTCTTAACTCTTTAAAGAATTTTGGACTTTCCTACCACATGTGATGAACTGTGTCATTGAACCCAGCTGATTTAAACTGAGGCAAGCGTTAGCTAATGAGTCACTGCCTTACCTTTCCTCTTCATAGACACATGGGGGCACCAGACTGATAGCAGAGGGAAAATTTCCTTTCTACACTGATGTGAGATGAAATGTGTTTAGTCGGATCTCTTTTGTTAATCAAATCAGTATAATATCAATATCAAGGGTTAGTAACTTGTAAGGACAAAATAAAAACCAGTCTCATGAATACCAATCTACTTTTGCTTTTTTTAAAAAAAAAAAAAAGTCCTTTTCACTCTTAAATATTAAGAATTCGGGGGGCCAACAAGCTGGTGGAACGTGCAACTCTTGATCTCAGGGTTGTAGGTTTTGTTTTTCTTTAAAATTTTCTTAATGTTTATTAATTTTTGAGATACAGAGAGAGACAGAGCATGAGAGGGAGTGGGGCAGAGAGAGGAGGGGGACACAGAATCTGAAGTAGGCTCCAGGCTCTGAGCTGTCAGCACAGAGCCCGATGCAGGGCTCGAAACCACGAACTGTGAGATCATGACCTGAGCCAAAGTTGGACACTCAACCTACTGAGCCACCCAGGCGCCCCATCAGGGTTGTAGGTTTGAGCCCCACATTGGGTGTAGATTGCTTAAAAATAAAATCTTCAGAAAAAAGAGAATTCCACTTCATTGGGAATATGATAAATAATGGGCCTTAGGGCAAATCATGCTATTTTTTTTATAAATTTTTTTAATATTTTATTTATTTCTAGGAGAGAGAGAGAGAGAGAGAGACAGCGTGAGCAGGGGAGGCTCAGAGAGAGAGNGGGCTCGAACCCACGAACCGCGAGATCATGACCTAAGCGAAAGTCTGATGCTTAACCGACTAAGCCACCCAGGCGCCCCAATTCATGCTATTTTTAAATCAGAAAAGAAATTATCTTGCAAATGTGTTTTCAACTGATAAAAGAAGTGGGTGGACTAGTTTTACAAGTAGCTGCTGTTCAAAACAATCACCAAAACCTTTTAAAGAGAGGGCACCTGGCTGGCTCAGTTGGTAGAGCATGCTACTCTTGATTTTGGGTATGAGTTTGAGTCCCATGTGTGGTGTAGAGTTTACTGAAAATGAAATAAAAAAAATTTCTTTAATTAAAAAAAAATTTTTTAACACCTGAAAGTAATATTACTCTAAATTTTAACTAATTGGAATTTAAATAAAAACTTAACACACAAAAAAAACTTATAAAAACAGAAGGTAGGGGTGCCTGGTTGTCTCAGTCACTAGAGTCACTCTTGATCTGGGGTTGTGAGTTTGAGCCCCATGGGTGTGGAGATTGCTTAAAAATAATAATAAAAAAAATCTTTAAAGAAAAAAAGGAGAAGGTATTTCTGTGTGAGAAACAATGTTTTCATCTTTTCATAGTTGTACTGTATTTCGTGTTTGGCACATTTTCATTTAAAAGGTAAAACAATTGATTTTCTTATGTGTTTCAGAATGGATTGTCTCCATTGCACATGGCCACACAAGGGGATCACTTAAACTGTGTCCAGCTTCTCCTCCAGCATAACGTGCCCGTGGATGATGTCACCAATGACTACCTGACTGCCCTGCATGTGGCTGCCCACTGTGGCCATTACAAAGTCGCCAAGGTTCTCTTGGACAAGAAAGCTAATCCCAATGCCAAAGCCCTGGTGAGTAGCTCAGTCAGCAGGTCCATGTGAAGGGATTACTGTGAGGAGTTAAAAATGGAAGGTCTGGTTAAATAAAGTATACTTCCTATCAATTTTTCAAATTCCCTTTAAAGAAACAACTTATTTCTGACATGAACAAGGCTGATGGGGCTAAATCACTAACCTCTTTATGGTCATACCGGTGAATCTCTTACATAAACAAGATCCAAAAACTATGTATTTAAAAAGACTGAGATGGTCACACTTATCTTACTGAAGGTAAAATTATAATTATGTGAATTAATATTTTTTTCTGAGATCTAAACATGAAGTAAAATGGTCAAAAAACTTTATCTTAAGCATCAGAGGTCTAGGAATTTGTGAGCTAAAATTTTGTGTTATGTTTACCATGTAAGTTAGCATATTGCTGGGCATCTCCTTTTCCTACTGATAAAAATGAAAATTTGGGTCTGATTTATAGTCTTAACTCCTAAAATGATCTGTTATTTTAACTCTTAGCTGTACTATAGTTTGATTTTCTTAACAAGATGGTATTTGTTGTCTTTGAAAAAAATAAATAATCCCAATTTGGTAAACTGTTTAAATTTAGTTCAGAATAAGTACCCATGTTTTGGAAAAAATCAGTCACCAAATGTTAGAGAAAACATGTGAGTTTACTAACAGTTTTGAAGTAAAGGCTGTCATCTGATCAACTGATTTGGGAAGGGTCACTGCTCCTTTCCAACTGGTGCTGTTTCCCTGTCTGAATGGATCCACAGCACCTCTGTGGGCTCAGAACTAGTGGGCAGGAAAGATGAGGACTGAGGAGCAATCTAGACCCCAGCAGCTCCACTGTCATTGTCACTCTGAAAGCTTTCACCACAACAGCATTTGAAGAGCTGTTGATCTGCCTAGTATGTCAAACATATCTTTGCATTCTGAGAAGGGAGGAAAAGAAATTAGCAATCATGACTCATTTTTCCATACAAGAAAAAAAAAAAAACCTTAAAACAGGGTGTAGGCATTCACTCTCATTTTCCTCTGACTCTGAAGATTTCACAACATGTGGAGGTTGTAGCCAGTCATCCTGGGATGGACTCTGGTCAGGAAAATGGTCTCACAATGGCTATGGAAGCACCCATAGTGACTTTGACCTAAGCTTTCATGGTGGACCCTGCTATTTTATACTTCTCTATGGTGACTGAAAAATGCTCCATGGTCTCAATTATCAGGCAAATTGGTAGAGTAATCTGTTAAAAAGCAGGTTCCTTTATTAGATTAAATATTAAACCAAATGATCCGAATAATGTTGGTTTGTTTCACTTCCTGCTTCCTTGGACTAAGTACCTACTATGTTTTAAAATGGCAGGGATGAAAACATTCTAAACAATTTTTTAACATTTATTTATTTTTGAGAGACAGAGAGAGATAGAGCATGGCGGGGGTGGGGGGTGCAGAGAGAGAGGGAGACACAGAGTCCAAAGAAGGCTCCAGGCTCTGAGCTGTCAGCACAGAGTCTGACAAGGGGCTTGAACTCACGGGCTGTTAGATCATGACCTGAGCCAAAATCAGATGCTTATCCAAATGAGCCACCCAGGCACCCCTGGGATGAAAACATTCTAGAACTGGTCTTATAGTTGAAGCCTGAATGGTATTGGCAAAGTTTTGGCTGTGAGGACAAATGTTTGGGCCCAGCTGTTTTTAGTCTGTATTTGAAATGGGAAGGAGGAGGGACGGACATATTATTTAGAAGAGAAAATTCCAAATAAAATAATCTTTAAAAATACATGACTATTTTGCCTTAGCTATCAGGAGACCATGATAAAAATTCACTTCCTGTTCATGATCAGCAGGCTTCTTCAGATTTCTAGGAGTAGCTAGACTACTTACACTTTCAGAAAAGAATCTACATTCTGTTTAACCCCTCATTGTTTCTGCTCACTTCCAAATCTTTACAGAACATCATTTTGCAAACACATTTTACCACACACAATGGAATTGTATTTCAATGGAAAGCAGTAATGTACTTCTGTGTCATTGTCCCTTTCAGAATGGCTTTACCCCTCTCCATATTGCCTGCAAGAAGAATCGGATTAAAGTCATGGAACTCCTTCTGAAACATGGTGCATCCATCCAAGCTGTAACCGAGGTGAGCAGAGTGGGATTTCTAGGGTTCCCTGGATCATGAGGGGATAGCCTTCACAGCTGAGGTCCCAGAGCCATCCTCAACAGCTAGTTTTGCTGTGTATGTGGTTGCCACTTCTTCCTGAAGCCTTCACCCAAGGGGCTGCAAGTTCAGAGGAGAGAAGACAGGTATAAGGGGGAAGGAGTGTAAACACATCATTCAGAACACATGCTTCATGCTCAGGGATGAGTGTCTCCATTGCTGAAAGCATAGTTTACTTGAAATCCTGTAATGCGGTGCTTCTCAGATGGGGGCGATTTTGCCCCCCAGAGGGCATCTGAAAATGTCTGGAGGTATTTTTAGTTGTGGCAAGTAGATGGTGCTTCTGGTATCTAGTGGCTAGAGGCCAGATGCTACTAAATATTTCACAATGTGCAGGCAAGCCTTCTACAACAAAGAATTATCTGGCTTAAAATGTCAGAAGTGCCAAGGTTGAGAAACCCTATATAACACCACCTGAGAGTGTTTGTAAACTGAGCATTACTCTCTCTAAACTCTCAAAATTAAGGAAACACAGAGTTGCTGAAGTTAGTAAAGGACGACTCTAGGTTTGTTTTGTAAAACTGACATAGAACTCGGAAAAACGTTCCACCAGGATCAGTGCTGAGCACGCCTGGGCCTGGCGTCTCCTGCCCCAGACTCCCCAACCTGCTCCACCCCCAACACTCTGGTCTCCATAGATTCCAGCCACGGCATTTTCCGGGACTCCATGTGTCACCCCCAGTTTGCTAGCTCGGCTAATCCTGCACACTCTTCAGGACAAATCAGGAGCCACTCATCAGGAAGTCCTTCACCGCCTGGTCTCCTTTAGGAGGTCCTCCTCGGACCACCTCTTCCTATGCCTGTTTCCATTAAAGCACTTATCCAGCTGCTTCGTTTATGACCTAGCCACTCCCCCTCCCCAGAAAGTGCAGGCTCCATCAGGGCAGGTCTGAGCCTGACGGGTCTGTAGATGTAGGCAATACAATATAGGCCATTCAATAAAGGTCTGCTGAATGCATCAATAAAGACTATAGTATTTGACACAGATATAAAATTTGAGATCTAGTCTAGTGACTGTTGCTTTGCCTCAGTTTCTTATCTTCAAATATTTGCCTTGATTTGTAACACTTACAAATTTAACGTTATTAAATGTTAAAAATATTAATACTGATTTGCTCTTGTATCACTCTCATGTATTTATGGTAGTCACCTATTATCTTAAAAGCTTATTCTCAGTATATGGCAACCATTTTTAAAGATCTGAGTGGGCTCTGAAATAAAATATTTTTGACTGGTGTTTGATTAAATATCCAGAGATGTCAGCCACTGAGAAGGGTCCTCTGCTGGCATTGTACCCCTCAGAGCTTTAAAAGGCAAGAGACAATGGAAACCAACTTGACAATAAACTAGGAAAAGAAAAAAAAAAAAGTAAATAAAAGGCAAGAGACCAAGATGAGAACATGCCTCGTACATGCTCTAAGGACTCCCCCTACTGATGGAAAAAGGTGCCAAGTTTTTAACACAGTTCTCCCCATTTTCCTCAGTCCCCACTGTTTGAAAGCTGGCCAACCAGAATTCTTTCTCTTCTGCCTTTTACCTCACTTTTATTAGACAGAATTCCTTTCACATATTTTTTTACATTTCTCAAATTCTTGCTGAGATTGGATCTCTTTCTCATTCTCTTTTTCAAATACATTAGCTATTTCTAGCCATACTAAATATTTTTGCCAAGTTATGATGTTCACGTTGTACATGGAATTAATTCTAAAAAGTTTAAATGGCATCGTTTTATATAGGAAGCATAAAGGTGTGTGTTTGTGTGTAGGATTTGAGACAAACAAAATTTAAAGTCTTGTCTAGTGATCATTGTATTATTTGCTTTAATTATATCACCTTAATTTATAATATTCATAAAGTTAAAAATTAAATTATTAAAGCTATTAATGTGATCTTCTCATTTATTAGAGGGTTGACCTTGTGTTAAGCACCATGCTCTTTGTGTATAATAGAATCAGTTGATTCTAAGTGCATCAGAATCATTTTTAAAGGCCAAAATAGGACCTGAAATAAAAGTCAACTTTTTAGTAGTATATATGCAATCATACATGCACCCCCTCCACACACACACATAGTTATATGGATAAGGAAGGTTTGGTAGCAAAGGGGGAAAATCTTCAAGTCTTTTTCTCTAATTTTTTTTCATAGCTCTTTATAAAATGTTTGAAATCTTTCTTTAATGGACATGACATAGGTCCTTCATAATCACTGAACCTGCTTTAAGGAAATGATGATTATGTATTGGTACATTTATCTTATAAAATCTGTGACATAGTGGGAAATGTCCTAAGGTCTTCTGACGTGATCATTCGAGTGCTTATGTTAAGATTGGTGTGGGTGGGTACATGGAGGGCAGACAGGAAGGCAGGCAGACAAAACCTTTTTATGATGAGTTCATGAACAAACATTTCCCTCTTTTCTTCCTAGTCGGGCCTTACCCCAATCCACGTTGCTGCCTTCATGGGGCATGTAAATATCGTATCACAACTAATGCATCATGGAGCCTCACCAAACACCACCAATGTGGTAAGTATCCTTTTAACAAAGAAGATCCAATTATGAGTATTTAAGAAACTGGTAAGGATTGCTCTTATTTACTTATTTTTTATATAATTAAATTCATTCCTATTTAGTGTGACTACTTAGAAGGACAAAACTTGAGAATACCTGAGGTTTCCTTTACTTCGAAGGCAAGATCCATTCAATTGCCAGCTGGTCATGAATTGTTAGGACCTATGGGTTGTGTGTATTAACCTTCCAGATATGTTACTACTGGGAATTATGCTTTAACAAATAGCTTTGTGTAGGGGAAGACTTTACAATAGAAGCATTTAATAAGTGTTTCATGTTGAGGAGGCACTTCAAATTATCATTATTGTAATTTCAAATAAATCCAAAGTAATGTTTCTCTTTAGTGTGCTTGACCATGTTATAACAAACCCATGTTGATAGGTTTTTGGATGGTATTGTTTTCCCACACTAATCATCACTCATTTCAGAGTAAATATCAGTCTAGAAGTGACTTATCACTCTAGATCTACATGTGGCATTTGAAATTGTCTTACAGGATTTTAAGTTTGTCTTCATAATAATATTAGCATACCAGACCACAAGCATAATAACACTAGTTGAACTCATGAGCACCAAAGCAGTAAAAATCAAATAAACCACATTATGGCACAGAAAGGGCACATAATAAGGTCCTGCACACTCACCCTGAGGGTGAGCCTCCAGGAAGGCTCTATGTCTTCTAACAGCCCAAATGAGCACATCCACAATATAGGAACAGACTGGCTTCTCAGCAGAAATATCATCTTTCCTGTTACTAATGCCAGAGAGAGAGAATGTTTCCTTTCATAAAGAGAGCCTTGGATGATCTAGTAAACGATATGCCCAATGCCTTTCCAGTAAACATAATAACAAGTTCCATGTGAACTCTGTCCTTGTATATCCTTCCATGGATGTGGATGCCCTATAAAGCAAGGATCAATTTATAAAAGGAATTTTTAGGTGGGTATCACTTATGTGGGAGAATATATTTGCTCTTTATGACCTTTCATTTCTGTCTTTCCATGTTTTCTATATTATTTTCATTTTTTAATGAAACAAATGGATAATCTGAATTAAACTCTCTTTAGGGACAATGGGGGAAGTGGTCAGGGTGGAGGAGTCCAATGGCCAAGAAAATGGCCCTGTGGGATAATGTCGAAAGACCAGGATACTGGTTGGCTGAGCTAAAGCACAGAATGTAAACCAACAGCCACCAGCCAAGTCTGGCCCTCAGGTGTGTCTATGTTGCCCTGGCAACATAGGGTTTTTGTTTTGTTCTATTTGCAATTCTGATTTTGGGTCAAGGTTTAAGAATTATACACAAATAGCCAAACTGCCAGCTTTTGAAAAATAGGAAGGTGTGGCATGATATGCCTGGCATCTGATAACTACCAAAGCAGTCTGCAAATGCCAAGGAGCAGCGGCCTCCACTGAGCAAGATGTGGGCCTTTCTTGTTGAGTGTCCCTCTCCTGCCCAGCTCACTCATTTCCCTTCCTGCTTGGCTCCTGAGAATATTTACCTTTCACGCAGTGAGGAGGCCACACTAAGCAGCACTTCTGATACCACTGGAGACTAGCTTCCCAGCGCTACGCCAATCCTTCCATCAGGAATCCAGTTGCTATGAAACTCATGTATTTCATTTCTGATCTTTCTTCATTTTCAATAAGGAAGTGCTTGGGACTATTTTTTTACTTAAAAGAAAGAAACCACCCTACAGCATAAGCATTATGCAAATAAAACATACCACCCTTCTTCAGAGCTTCCATTAATTACCTATGGCTCATGTTCCCTAGAGAGGAGAAACAGCACTGCACATGGCAGCTCGATCTGGCCAAGCTGAAGTCGTGAGGTATCTGGTGCAAGATGGCGCTCAGGTAGAAGCTAAAGCCAAGGTATGTGCAACACAAGAAAGCCTTTGCTCTTGAGGAAAAAATTACCCTTGCTTTTAGTAAAACTTTTAAACAAATGTTTGCTCTCTTCCAGGGATACTCTTATAAAGTCATGACAAAAGTCTCTATCCAGGTGATACTGTAAAAAAATAATAATAAATAATACACATTTGTCCGTTCAATTATTATAATTAAATAGAACAAGAACATTGTGTCCTTGGCACATTGCTGGCCTCTAACAGGTTTGGAATCAAACATAGACTTGGTCCACAGTTCTTCGTACTCCATAGAGAAGGGCTCATAGCTTCTAAAACAAGCATAATTTGGAAGCGTGATTGAATTCTTTTGGTTGACTTATATGTCACCTGCCATGCCCATAAAAGGAAAAAGGAAGGTTTTACCTTTTCTTCACAACTTGAGAAGTCATAAACCCTAAGACTTGAATTAGAGTAGCTTTAGGGATTTGCCTTTACATAGAAGAATGTCTGGATTGAGTTTGAATGCTTCATTTTCCCTGATATTTAGCTTCCAGAAGAAACCCACTTTTCAGGGCACCTAGATGGCTCAGTCGGTTAAGTGTCTGACTTCGGCCCAGGTCATGATCTTGTGGTCTGTGAGTTTAAGCACCACATCAGGCTCTATGCTGACAGCTCAGAGACTGACGCCTGCTTCAGATTCTGTGTCTCCCTCTCTCTCTGCCCCTCCCCTGCTCATGCTCTGTCTCTCTCAAAAATAAATAAAAACATTAAAAATTTTTCAAAATGAAATCTACTTTTCTTTCACTATTGAGATGGGTAGTTGGTCTGGCTATCAAAATGGCATTTCAGGTCAGGGATTGTAAATAAATATGTAAATGCCTTAACCATTTAATTTAACTTTTTGTATATAAATGGTCTACAGTTTCTAGTTTCAGATTAAGTAGTGAGAAAACTGAGACATATGTGAAGCCTTTTATATACAAAATATCTCTAGACTTTTATAATATCCCCCCAACATATGTAGTTGTCTCACCCATATCTAATTTGACCACAACTGTTTTTTATCAACATCTGTCAAAGCTCTCCAAAGCTTTTAACGTAGTCTTCTTAGGGGGAAATTAAGCCTTCCCTTTCATATTCATATTTTACCTGCTAACATATTGTGCGATTGTATAATTAAAGTAATTAGTGCAAATATTGCACAAAGTAGCAATGTAACTAGTACAAACATACTAGTGTGGGAACAAACACAACTAGATCATTGTAAGCATAAAATCTTCAGATGAGCATAAAGATTGTAACATTCTGAGCAGCAGACACAAGCTTTGGGTGTCCAGTGTACTTGGTTCCAGTTGGTGGACTTTACAGAGGATCTGGAGACAGAGGTTAGCAAACTTTTTCTGTAAAGAGCTTGTTAGTATATATTTTAGGCTTTGCCAGATGCACCACCTCTATCACCGCTGCTCAGCTCTGACATTCTGGAACAAAAGCAGAGATAGGCAGTTCTACCTAAGCATATAGGCATGTCCATGTTCCAATTAAATTTTATTTACAAACACAGGTGGCAACTGGATTTGGCCCCTGGATTGTAGTTTTCCCACTCCTGATGTAGAGATAGTGGTTCAATCTGCCTAATCCGTAAAGCAGAATAAATAAGAAAACTGGACTCTACAATGGATTACAAGAAACCTCACATTTTCTGAGTGTTAGCAACCTATCAAGCATTGTATCTAGGGAGTGATTTCACTCACAAGCTGAAATTGAGCATAGAATTTATAGTTATTATTTCATTAAGGAGGCAGTATATATCACGATTAAAGAACCTTACTTCCTCACCCAGACTGCCTGGGTTTGAACCTTGGTCTGTCATTTACTAGCTGTGTAGTGTTTGAGTGAGTTAATGAACATCTCTGTGGCACATTTCTTTTTCTAGTTTCTTTTCTGTGACAATTATCTTTTTCTGTTCTAAGTATTCCTCTTCCTATTGCTCCACCAATTCCTCTTATACTTCTTCAACAGACCCTGTTGCTTTGGTCTTGACCTTCATCCTACTTAGCTTTTCAAAGCAGTCTCCTGTACTCCAGCATCTTCTCTCTACCTTCCCTAGTTAAAGTACTTACCTGAACTTTTTCACACTCAAATAGAGGATTTCTCTTTAGATGACCACCACAGGGCATCTTTGGGCAAACAAGGAAAAGATGCCTCTCTCACTTGGGGATAAGCTCCTAAAGGTATAAGATATAGTGCCTCATGTCTCTGGGAGTGAATTGTAATAAGATGCATTTCTACTCTAGGCAGATACAGCCCATGCCGGGTATGCACCTTGACAAGCAGAGAGTAGCCTGGCTTTCAGCCCTCGTGGCTGGGAGCCTTTGTGCAATTATACCTGCACAACCCTATATGCTGGCCTCCATCTTTGGATTATGACAAGGTGGCACCAATAAAATAATTCATTCCAGATGAGGGCACAATAACTGGTGGAGGTATAATACCTTTCCCAATTTTAGTAGGATAAATTCCCTTACCTCCCAAAAAAAGGGAATCCTTTAGGGATAAAATTTTAATAAAATATGGCAGGTGTGGGGGATAATTTATAGATAGAACTGCCTTTCACACTTTTCATACTAATAGGTTACTTGAAGGGTATTTAAGGTGCTTAGGTCCATCATCTCCATCTTTATAAATGTTGAAGAAAAAGATAAATGGGATTCTTTTAGCATCGAATCAAAGAATCGAATGCTGATACCAAGCAAAGTTGCTGAATGTTTCACAATGTCACCATTGTTTTCTCAGCTAATCAGCCTTGTATTTCAACTTTGTCATTTAGGATGACCAAACCCCACTTCACATTTCTGCCCGATTGGGGAAGGCAGATATAGTACAACAGCTGTTGCAGCAAGGAGCATCTCCAAATGCAGCCACGACTTCCGGGTACACCCCACTCCACCTATCGGCCCGTGAGGGGCATGAAGACGTAGCTGCATTCCTTTTGGATCATGGCGCATCTTTATCTATAACAACAAAGGTATGAAACTGAGTCTTGGAATCCTGTTGTGTTCCCCCACATCCATCCTCACAATTCCCAGCATGGTAATAAGTGCAAAAAAGGTACAAGAATATCTATCCTTGGGATCCCAGGACAGTCCTTAACATGGTCAACAAAGCCATGGAGTGAGGCAGGGTAGTTTGGGGTATGTGTGTTTGTCTTATGTTTCTCAGTCCAAAGAACCATCAGTTAATAACTAGATTAAAATGTTTTTGCACATTATTTGATAGATTTAAATGGTGGTTTAAAAACACAGCCATAGATCTCTCCTGCTGAGGCCAAGGATACAAACCACTTTCAAATCAGTAGGTGAATTTTTTTTGGATTACTTTTGTCTGGTGTTCTTTTGTTGCTGTTGGCTTATATGATGAATGGTTTGATTTTTTAAATCTCAAATCTGATGCCTTATAGCAATAACCTACCATTCAGTTGCTTTGTGGGTACAGACTGCAAAACTGAGAGCTCATTTTTTGGTGATACTATGTAAACCTAACAAGTGTGATAGAAACATGAATTGGCCTATGGCATGTCTTAGAAAATTAGAAATTGGTGCTTCACTCCCTTATTTGGATGCAGAGAAGTGTGATCAATGCACAAGATAATTACAATAATTAGAAATACTTGGAAAACCATCTGAATAAATAATGACTACCCAACTTTCACCCCCTGTGACTCTTCAGGCTCTTAGGAGAGCTGGATTTCATTTAAAATACAAAACAGAAGGGTTTTTTTTAGTAAAGTTCCTGGATTTCATTTAATATATGAAACAGAGTGATGAGTAATAAGTTTTTGAGTGTCCTAGCCCTTCCACCATGCCAGCTGTCCATTGGCTTAGTTGGCTTTAGTCTCATGAGGTCAAATGTGTTGATGACCCTCTAGTTGCTGACTCATACTTGGGAACCTTGGTAACTGTGCATGCTGACTGACTGCTAGATACCCAAATCCTTGTAGGAGCAGGTAGCAAGGGAGTGCAACTACTCAACTCTCAGTACCCAACTCTTGCATACTTACTGGGCTAGAACCATGTGTTATTATTCAGTTCATCTGTTGTGGCTGAGAGGCACGAATCTCTGCCTCCTACCCCTGAGTCCTGGAGCATATTAAAGATATGTGTATACATGCAGAAGTAGGAGAAAAGGAAGAGAAAGGCTCCAGTCTAGTGATGGGGGAATATGGGAGGTCCAGACTTGTCCTGGATTTTCCCAAGCCTTCCAAACCCAAATTGGGCCTGACACCCAGGATCATATTATTCCCAAAATGTGAAATCCCAAAATAGCTCTAGAATAACTAGAGCCCCAGATCTAACTCCCCACCTTCATCCTGGTCAGATGCCTGATTAGTCCCAGAATTAGTGGCACGTTGTGACTCAGTCAACACAGAGAGAAAGATGAAATACTCCTCATCCTTGTTGATAAGGGGATTCTAGCTGTTGTCTTCCAGTCTTGGTCCTTAAATACAGGCTTACTGTGCTTCACCACGAGAATAATTCATCCGTTCCAGGAAAGCAATAGCTTTGTATCATTCCTCTTGCTCATTATTTTTATGTTTTCTCTTTTCAGAAAGGATTTACTCCTCTCCATGTGGCCGCAAAATATGGGAAGCTAGAAGTAGCCAATCTCCTGCTACAGAAAAGTGCATCTCCAGATGCTGCAGGGAAGGTATGAGGCTGACTACCTTGTAGCAGGCCCCTTCCATGGTAACAAAACAAGCACTTGCTACTTCACCACAAGTCACCTAAATTATGACTAGTCCGAGTTAAGGTGCATAGGATGAAGATCACTTTGGAAATAGGAGGTGAACTCTGGGGTCCAAGCATTGTGGAAAGAGGAATGTAACTGACACTCTGTGTTGAACCCATACTAATCCCATCTCCTAAATCTAGGCCTCTGATGTTAAGACACTTTTGACACTGGTTGTTGTTTCTGCACGTGTTTTCAGAGCGGGCTCACTCCACTGCACGTAGCTGCACATTATGATAATCAGAAAGTGGCCCTCCTGCTTTTGGACCAAGGAGCCTCACCTCACGCGGCTGCAAAGGTACCTGTGATCGGACAGCCCAAAGAGGACGATGGGCAGCGTCCATCGGTCTCTGTATGTGCATCCACTCTGCTGCACATGTAGTGCCCTGCATCTTAGACACCATGTAAAAGACACAAAAATATAAGCTCCTTGGGAAATCTGTGCCTTTAGCTCTTTGGTCACCTGATGTGGTAGATGCTCAATAAATATTCACTTGCTAATTGATTTCCCTTAAAAATCTGGGACATCCTGGAGCCTGTGGAGGAAATAAAGTTGAAGTACCCTTCAGCCAGATTAAAAACATCAGCACAGGGGCATCTGGGTGGCTCAGTTGGTTGAGCCTCCGACTTCAGCTCAGGTCATGATCTCATAGTTCATGGGTTCAAGCCCTGCATCGGGCTCTGTGCTGACAGCTCAGAGCCTGGAGCCTGCTTCCGATTCTGTGTCTCCCTCACTCTCTGCCCCTCCCCTGCTCATGATCTGTCTCTCTCTGTCTCTCAAAGATAAATAAATGTTAAAAAAAAAAAAATCAGCACAGCCTGAGGGAGTAAGAAAGTCTGATTTGTCAAGGTTATAAAATATGTGTGATATTTTCCAGGCCACAGAACATTGCCTTCGAGTTGTTTATTTCTGTTTAATAAAATAGGTTGGGAGGCTTTGTTTATGTGTTTTTATGATTCTTAAGAGGAATCTTTATTCCTATTACTAGGGTGTTTTTGACCAGTAAACAACCTACATTTTTCAGAAAAAAGATACACAGAGTGTATATATCCTGATTCCCCAATATTCTGATTTAAGAGGCAAATCATAAAGAAGAGTTTATTTGAAGATAGGTTCATAAGTGCTGTCAGTTCAGTAAGCTCTCTGTTGTGGAGCAGGTGGCTATGATCTGAGAAAACTGGAAGGATACAAACCACAACCTAATGATATTGAGTTGTTTTACTAAATACTATGGGTTGAAGGAACTTTTCAGCATTTTTAAGCTTTTTATATCTTTGTCTTTTTTATTCTGCCATGGAGGGGTAGCTACAGTGCTCTCCTTTAAACTTAGTGTTTACATTGAATCTGCTGTATACACAGGTCAATGAATGGGCTGTTCTAGATTGCTTTGTGGACTTTAAGAGAGAACGTTTTCAGGTTCCTTTTCCTTTTGAAGACTAGGTCACCTTTGACACACATTTCTCCTCCTCTTTTCCTGTATGTCTTAAGTATCTCCTGCCTCAGCTTCTCCAGAATGTTACCCAGTGAAATCTACAATTCAGAACCAAACCTCTAACTTTGCTTTTCATCTAAATGTGGCTTTCCCTCCATAGTTTCTGATCCTGACAAACATTCATTCTCTCATAAAACCATGCCTTGATGTTTGATAAAGCTTTATCTTAAAAAAAAATGAATCATAGAATTATTCACAGTAGCCAAAAGGTGAAAGCAACTCAGTTTCCATTGAAGAATGAACAGATAATGTATGTAGTGTATACATACAATGGAGTATTATTCACCCTTGACTAGGAAGGAAATTCTGGCACATGCTACAACATGAATGAGCCCCAAAGACAACACGCTAAGTGAAATAAACCAATCACACAAAAGGATGAATATTGTATGAGCTAAGTCATAGAGAGACAGAAAGTAGAATGCTCATAGCCAGGGGCTAAAGGGAGGAAGGACTGGGGAGTTGATATTTAATGAATGGGGTTTCAGTCTGAAGATGGATGGTGGTTAATGGTTGCAGAACAATATGAAATGTAGTTAACTCCATTGACTATACACTTAAAAATGGTTCAGTTTCATGTAATGAATATTTCAACACAATTTAAAAAATGAAAAAAAATACAGTGAAATTTAATGATTGTCTATTACGTTTCAGTATATTTTAATATCCTTCTGGACCTGGGCCACTTTTATTATATTATAATAACCCCGGGTTCTTGGTAGGCAAATAATTAATAAACAAATTATTTGTTCCTCACATAAGAGTAAGATAATTAATAGGCAAATTATTCATTCCTCATATGAGAGTAAGAATTTTGACACAACTAGTGCCAAGCAGTTTAGAATTGACAAGAGTTATAAAGTAGTAAGTGAAGCAAAATGAGTGCAAGCCTCCCTTCTGTCCATCCATTCCTTCTTTCAATCCACGGAAAACCCTTAAATAGGTCAGTAGTTGGTATATTTGCAGTTGATTTCCAGCTTCATATTTGTCAAACAAGACTTTATGTTTCCATGCCTGCAAAACGTCCTTCACAACAAAGCGTTGAAAAGAGTTCTAATAGCACTTAGCCTTCGGAGTAGCTTTTATAGCCAATCCCATACTGGCTTTGCTAAAGCGATGTTACTTCTTGCCGCCACTGCACAGTTGCCTCTTAAGAGCCTCAGCAATACCATCTCTGTCACATGGCTGATCATCCCCACTGTCCAAGGCACTGATCCTGGTCAGGAACTTTTTCTAGACTTTGATCCTAAGCAAAGCCTGTTCCTTCAGTTAAGGATTGGCTTCATTTGCTAGACAAGAGACCTAGCTACAGTTGTTTAAACTGCTGAGGTTCTATTTTTCTCATTTATAAACAGTCTGGAGGTGGGCAGTTGTTGATGTTGGTCCAGTGTTTCCAGAGCATTAAGAAAAGTTCCCTGTGATTTTTTTTTTCTTCCTTTCCTTTCAGATATTGTTTATGCTCAGGATGCCAGGCCCTCTTTTCAAGCAACAGGCAGGAAAGAAAGTCAGACAATAAGGGCCTTCCCAGAAGCTCCACCCAGCCAGTTCTCCTTACATGTCATTGGCCACTGCTTTCTGCAAGGGAAGCTAGTAGGTGTAGGTTTTCAACTAGACACTATGCCAAGGCTCTTTTATTAAAGAAGGAGGAAGAATGGATAAAGGGTAGGCAAATACCTTCTTTTCCTCCAGGGAAGGTTTAGCATTTCCAAATTCTGAGTGGTGAAAAATGAGGCACGAAGGCTCAAAAAGGCATGATTTGAACATATGGCTATAACAGCAATGACTTCAATATGAACTCTTTCTCAGTCACATGTTGGGTTCTTAGGGTAGGTAATGCTTTTTTGCCTTTTCTTCTTTTTTGTAGGATTGCCAAATTTTCATACTCATACATGTCCTAGAAACTTGATGTGCTTTTGTAATGGGGGAGGAGGAAAGGTGCCAAAAACGTAGATGGGCTTCTGTCATCCATTTTCACCAGATCTATTTCCTAAGGCAGGACTCTATGCTAGCAGGGGGATTGACATGAATTAAGGTATAACCTGGGCATTCATCATGGAAAAAGAATAGTGAGCCTTAACTTATTGTCAGATTTCTCTTGTATAAAATATGCAATATCTACTGATATGGAACAGTAGAGATGCTTGGAAAAAATATAAAGTATGATATAAATATATTACTTTTGGCAATTTAAGATTACATTTCCTTTTGTTTTCATCTTGAATCACAAAAGCACACATTGCAACCATTTTGTTCTCTACATCAAGAGGAAAAAATCTTTAAGATTATTCTATAGTTGAATCTCTCACTATTTTATTTCTCTTCTGGTAAATACATCTTTCCCTTTAGTGTGACAGGTAAGAATCATTTTACTTTCCAGAAATTAAGAAATGTTTAGAAACATTAGAAAACTTCTTATAGGTCTCAAGATGAACTTTATTGTTTATTATTTGAAATATTTTTAAGTCTTTCTGAGATGAACTTTACATTCTAAAATAAATACCATGAATTGTTTTTCCCTTGCTTTATACTTCCCTTTGTAGCTCAGGTAAGGAGCTCAGAATAAACCCTCAGTAATAATGACTAACTTGTCTAAAGTCGGCATGCATTACAGAGATGCCAGAGTTTCTCCTTTTTAGTGTTCTTTAGGACCTAGGATTTTTGGGTGGAATTAGAAATAATCAAGAGGATTGTCACCTCTCAGAAGACACTGACCTGCTTTCAGTTGTTGAGAAGTAACTAACATAAAGGTTATATCTGTAGCGAAAGCAAAAAGAAATAAGATGCATGACAGGAAGCTAAACTCTGGCTATCTTGCTGTTACCACTCTTATTAGCCAGTGCTCGACATATTGACTAATCAGATGACCTATTTTAGCACTGTTTTTGTGAATTTTGTTTTTTATGCAGAGTTGGGGGTGGTAGTGAAACAGACCACCCCCTCCTGTCATTCGCTGTAAAGTTGGGCTCAGTCCAAAGCTCTACTTTTGGCTCTGAAGGCGATCTCTTTAGGGTGTGTCTGTACAGAGGGGACAAATATTTCCCAGGTCAACCAGGGTTTCCAGATGGCAAAAGGTCAAAACTAAAAATAAGGGATATAAAATCTTCTACCCTGGCCCATCCCATTTGGCAGAGACTGGTTTCAGAAGAGTCTGGAAGCAGCATTTCCACTTGCATGTGTTGATATTTAACAGCTTAAATCCTCTACAATTGATTACAGAAAGAGTGTCTCTCAAGTGAGAACCATTATCCTACCAGGACATGCTAATGACTTAATATATGAGGGTAATTGCAATAGGCTGGCCGATCTGTGGTGCCGCAGCCCTGACTGTCCTCTCTGTTGTTTATGACCCATCCGTATGGCCTGGAAAGGTTATGACTGATAGTTGTCTAGATTTGGATTATTTTGCCAAATATGAATCTGCAAATTCCATTTTTTGTCTAAATCTTCTTTTCTATAGAAAAGAATTATTCTCATTTTTCATTGGCGTATTTTATATAATTGGATTCATGCCCAAGTCAAAATATAATCTTGCATTTCTCTTAAGTGACAGTAAGGCCAGACAAGGTCCCCTAGTAAAGGGGACTTTTCTTTCTCAGGGTAGAAGACTCTGAAGCATCCTGAGGGTCAGCTAATTACCAGTTTGCCAGAGAAATTAGCTGCCTGTACCTCTGATCATCAGGAGTCAGTCAAGACAAGGATCCCAGAATGTTCTGAAAGTTCTAGTAAGCTTGACTCAAATTCTGAGGTTTCACCAGTCACTGAGAGGCACTAGTAGAGATGCAAAGACAAATATGACACAATACCTGCCCTCAGCAAATTTTAGTAGGAAGAAACAGGTATGCAAAGGGAAGAGTGCCACTAAATATTTCCAGGACTTTGGTTAGAGTCAGATAGGTTGGGGGTGGGTGTAGATGGGGAAGGAGGAAATGAAGCACTTCAGGAGAGTGTGACCCTTGAGCTGAATCTTCAGCTGATAGATGCTGACCCTGAGGGTGTGGTGGGGAAAAACATTCTTGATAGAAGGCAAAATAGAAACATGAGCTGTATCTTATTTAGGAAACCAATTCAGCTGGAGCATAACATAGAAACTAGAGTTTCATAAAAGAGACAAAGGGTCTGTGAGGGTAGATTATAGCATCTTGACTACCATGAACACTAAATTTTTCAACTTGTTAGCAACAAATGACCCTTAAGCATATTTTAAAGACAGAGTAATGGCTCTGAATGGCCATTATTGAATGAAAAGTGAAATAATGGCTCAGAACATGTCCATGGTACCACATTGTTTATTGTTTCCTAGTTAACTTTCTTCTCATTGCCAATTTAAATAAAGCAAGTAATTTTTGAGCACCTACTAACATTAACTACTTGCAAGAGAAAATTCTATATCCCTTTTATAAAACTGGTGGTAGTCTCAATCTCTTGCATTAAACTGTCTGTTGTATGTTTTCCCAATTTAGGGATGCGGGAGAAATTAGGGAATATATTAATGGCACAGCTTGATTTATCAGTTTGCTTATGTGATTATGAATTTTTAAATGGTCAAAGATAATCACTAGAAAGGGAAGGATACTATTTGAAAGCGCACTGCACACATTTTTATCTTGTTACTGGGCATGTGACCAAGTGATTCGTGTTGACAGAATGGTTATACGCCACTGCACATCGCTGCCAAAAAGAACCAGATGGACATAGCGACAACTCTGCTGGAATATGGTGCTGATGCAAATGCAGTTACCCGGCAAGGAATTGCTTCTGTCCATCTTGCAGCTCAGGAAGGACATGTGGACATGGTGTCACTGCTCCTCAGCAGAAATGCTAATGTGAACCTGAGCAATAAGGTAATCTTTCTTGTTCTCTACAAAGCATACCACAAACCCTTCCCTCTCAGAGACATCACTAAGAAGCATGAAGAATCCAGGTCAAATAGAATATATAAAGTGTAATGTTGCACAAAGATGTACCAAAATATTGTTTATTATAGTAAAGACTGAGAAAAAAATGTTGAAACAGGAAGAGAATCGTTAATCAATTGTCAAGTCATACAACTGAATAACATATAGCCATAAAAATGAAGTCCACAGAGTTTTTCTTAATAATATGAAGTTTTGTTGTAATGCTAATTCAAAGCACCACATTGTTACCTTGCCAGAACCTACCAAGTAGTAAGTTGTAAATTGTAGCCTGTTTAGTCCACAAACATTGTGCGGGTACCTACTCCTTGCCTCTCCCAGTTTCAAGTCCTACACTATAGGTATTAGAAAGAGTGCTGCCTTCAGAGAGTCCATTTTAATAATAGAAATTTAGAGTAGCCATTTTATTCAATAGGTTGGAAAGGTTGTTAGTCTTTCCATGTAAATTGGCAGTTTCAGGGAACTTGTGAGGTCTCTGTTCCTCAATATTTTCAAATTCCTCTGTCCTCATATTTGACATCCCCATTATTAGTGAAGAATTTTATGAAGCAAAGTCCAGCCCACAACTGGCAGAGACGTGTTAATGAAGTTACGACCTCTCATTGCATGTATCAGAGAATTTGGATTTGCTAAACTGTTTATTAATACCTTAAGTCTGAGGTCTGCTCAAAGCACAGAACAGATGTTTCTAACCCTTCCCTTCAGATAACACAGTGCCCCCAACTTCTTGACAATCCAAACTCCCTGGCTTCTTCTCTACCAGGTGGTGATGGCGGGGCCATAGCTCAGATACTGGAGTGGAGTGTCAAGATAGCAATCATTTTATGGTGCCAAATGAAAAGTAACTTCATTTGTTTCTCATATATGTAGCCTGTGTTTTAGAATCACGGAGGCTTTGGACCCCTTAGATGTGAATCCTAAGCCTAACTCTTACTTCATATATTACTTGATGGGACAAGTTATGTGACCTTGCTGAGCCTCAATTTTGACATCTAGTAAATGAAGACAACAATATTTACTTCGCAGAGATGTTATAAAGATTAACTGAGATAACATTCAACACCTTCTCCTTAAGAAAGAAAAGAATAGCTGTCTTAATTTTGGACTTCTTATAATTTAGGGAAAAGGTTATTCTGCACTAACCTGAATTCCCAAGGTTGTAATTTAACAAATTCTGTAGACAAAAAAACATACATAAGAGAACAGGGAAAACTTTTTAAAGTCAATTTTAATATCTTGAAAATACTTTGTGATTGTTATAGAGCAAACAAATTGCTCATATTTTTTGGTGTATCATATCTTTCTTTTTAAACATTCCTTTTAGCTATGCATGTCTCTGTATTAATAAGAATCACAGAGCAATTTCAAACAGCCATTAGAAACAGAATGTTTTTTTTAATTTCAAGGGTTCAGATAGAGACCAGGCTTACCATAATTTGCTACAAAATTCAACTTGTCTTAAAGACAAGGTAGAAGACCTGGTCTTCTCAAAGTGAAGAACATTCTGGCATCCATTTGAATCTATTTTAAGGGCCCAGAATATTGTATCTCATTAATTCTCTCAGAGGCAGTATAGACCTTAACAATTGGTTAATAGGTGAATGTTTTCAGGAGATTTGATTCCAAAGTACTGTGTGACTTTTTTTTAATCCTTCAGTCAAATAAATAAATAAAATTCTCAAGTCAACTAGTTGCAATATATATCCAGGCTTGTATTTACCTTAAAATCACAGAAGTTTTTTACACTGAAAGTACTTCAGAATCTCTCAGTGTGTGCTTTGGTACACCGGATATTAGCAAGAAAATTCTGAGGATCATATGACATAGTAAACCAAGGAAACCTAGACATTGCCAGCATCCTCCAGAAAAAAAGAAAACTCCAAATGAGCAGAGATACTTCCAGGGAAATTTTAAAAAACAGACCAGCTGGCTTCCCATGAGGACTTAAGGAACTTTCAAGAACTTCACAGTATCTCAGAATGATCTAATATGAAGGCATTTGTAAATCTTTACTTCCTTTCCCACTTGCCATGTTCCATATGAAGTATGAAATAAGCCCTGATGTGAAAACAGAAAATGAACAGAACTTTATTATCCAATAAGGAAACTCTGACGATTTTCTGTCAGTTTTTCCTAAACTGCCAGTTTTATAAACACGTTAGTGTCCCTCCCTCCCTCTGTTCTACCTCCCCACTTAACACTACATTTTATTTCCTTGCTAAAAAATAGATATTGAAAGAAATATTTAACTTCTGTGAAAATTTTTATTGAACTAAATAAATGTTGCTTTCACTGATTTCTTTTCTGACTAGTTACCAGAAGTTCACAGTAGCTTTAAGGAAAAGAGACCATAAACCCAAGTTACTAGTGAAGTGCTAGCATTTGATTTGACAGTTTCGCTTCTGATGTTCCTGCTTTCCCACGTGGATTTTGCAGACCACAAGTAGCTCTATTCCTTTGTACCGCTAATAAAATAATAAGCAGGGCTGTTGATATTCTGTTTATTATTTATTTATTTATTTATTTATTTTAATGTTTTATTTATTTCTAGGAGAGAGAGAGACAGCGTGAGCAGGGGAGGGTCAGAGAGAGAGGGAGTCACAGACTGAAGGAGGCTCCAGGCTCTGAGCTGGCAGTCAGCACAGAGCCCGACGCGGGGCCCGAACCCACGAACCGCGAGATCATGACCTAAGTGAAAGTCGGACGCTTAACCGACTAAGCCACCCAGGCGCCCCAACAGGGCTGTTGATATTCTGAAATAATGGTGTTCTCCTGTTCCAAATAAATGCCACTTTTTAAAATCAGCAATGGCTGAAATCTTATAAAAGATAAACAGGTAACTTCTGAACTCATATGAGGCTGTTACAACCATCACATTATTTTTTTTAAATCTTTTTAATGAGGGGGGCCGCCTGGGTGGCTCACTTGGTACAGGTGTCTGACTTCGCTTCAGGTCATGATAACGTGGTTCATGGGTCCAAGCCCTGCATCAGGCTCTGTTCTGACAGCTCAGAGCCTAGAGCCTGCTTTGAATCCTGTGACTCCCTTGCTCTCTCTGCCTCTCCCCCACTTGTGTATGCTCTCCCTCTTTCTCAAAAGTAAATAAACTTAAAAAAAGAAAATCTTTTAAATTAAAATCATGAACAGAAAATAAGTTTCTCTTTATCATATTTTATCCAAAGATGTTTGCTTTTTTTTCTTCTGATTTAATCATCTTGTAAATGCTTCAGTGCTAGATGCTAGATGCTAGACACTGGTTATAAAAAGATTTAGGATACGATATTTATCTCACCAAGGCCACAGTGGTTTGAGAAAAACAGACAAGGAAACAATTTAAATGCAGGATTATAATTGTCTTAATAGAGGTGAGCACATAGAAGGTATGCACATAAATGTAACAGTGAGGACATTTGTGAGACAAGGATGGAGAGAGAAGCCCAGGAAGGCTGTGAGTGACTCTGTGCCACATGTAGAGTGGGTAACCCACAAAGCAGCATGAACACAGGGGAACACGAGAAAGTAGGTCACATGCCAGAATACCTTTCCCAAACTTTGTGAGAAACACTCACTCAGTGAAGTATTTTCAAAAGTCTTGAACAGTCTCAAACTTAGAATAGGTGACCATGACACCTCTACAAAATACTATGGCTGCAATATTTATTTCTTCTAAAGTAAAACATGGAGAGGGTGGGGGGTACATGAAACAGGGATTAAGGAGTGAACTTGTGATGAGCACTGGGTGGTGTATGGAAGTGTTGAATCGCCATATTATGTACCTGAAACTCATAGAATGCTGTATGTGTACTAACTGGAATTAAAATAATAAATAAATAAGTAGGTAAATAAATAAATAAAGTAGAACATGGAACATTGTTCTAAGATTATGTCAGTGTTGGGTGATGCCAGTCTTGGCCCCAGCTTATTTTTCTTGGATTTCAACAGAGTGTATCAGTCCTCCTTTTCACATCTCCTCTCTTTTCAGTTTGAGTGGGCTTCCTCCCAAATTCCGTAAACATTTAAAAAGCCGAGAGCAAATGAGTCTTACTGAGTCCTATAATCTCTTTGATGGGACGGCAACCCGTGAATAAGTCATGTTTGACATCTAGAGGCCTCTGTGCCGTCCCTGGTGCTGCTCCCGAATCACCTCTCCTCCGACAGATGCAACGGCCGAAGCTCCCGTTGCACAGATGCTGGAGGAAGAGAAGGAAGGCTTCCAGGACTCAGATATAACCTCTGTGCTCGTACTGGGGGACAGAAAGCAATCTGCAAACAGTAACACCAAGTCACTTTCTCCTAAATATTATTCATGAAAAGACACTTTATAACTACAGAGGATTTTTAAACCAGAGTACAGTCTTGGTGATGTTTTCTTGCCATTCGAACAACCAGGTAGCCTGCATGTTCTCTGGTATCCTCAGTTTCAAAGGTTCCGTCTCATTAAATACATACACCATTTCAATAACCTGGAAATTCTCATGGTGCAGCATTGATTTTGCATTTCTTAGACCATCTTTCCTACTCAGAAACAACATAGAGGGGGCGCCTGGGTGGCTTAGTCGGTTAAGCGTCCGACTTTCGCTTGGGTCATGATCTCACGGTTCGTGGGTTCGAGCCCCGCGTCGGGCTCTGTGCTGACTGCCAGCTCAGAGCCTGGAGCCTATTTCAGAGTCTGTATCTCCCTCTCTCTCTGACCCTCCCCTGCTCACGCTGTCTCTCTCTCTCTCTCTCTCTCCTAGAAATAAATAAAAAAATATTAAAAAAAAAAAAAAGAAACAACATAGAGAACACATTTATCAGCCTTGAGTATTAATATTTGGTGGAGAAAATATTATCATCATATGTCAATACTTTATTTTTAACTAATTTTTCTTTCAATTCTGCTAAAACTAGTGCCAATAGTCATTTGTTGAAATTCCTGCATAATTTTTCAAAAAAGTATCCCCAGGGTCTTTTGGGTAAATATTTATTTACTTATTTTTGAGTATAGTTGACATAAAATCTCACATTAGTTTCAGGTGTACAGCTTGGTGATTTGACAAGTTTATACATTATGCTGTGTTCCCTACAAGTGTAGCTACCATCTACATCTGTCCTGTCACAACACTATTACAGTATTATTCACTGTATTCCATGTGCTGTGCCCTTTATTCCCATGACTTATTCATTCCATAACTGGAAGCCTTTGTCTCCCACTCCCTTTCATCCATTTTGCACAATCTCTCATCACCCCTTCTCTGTGGCAACAATCAGTTTGTTTTCTATATTAACAGACCTGATGCTGCTTTTTGTTTACTCATTTAAAATTAACAACAAAAAAGTTTTTGTTTATTCATTTACAATTTTTTTCTTTGTGGGAGTATTTTAAGGCAAATCCCAGACATTATATCATTTTATATCATTTTTTAAAAGAGCCTCTAGTTTTAAAAAGTGAACACTGAAGTATGTAGTAGGAAAATGGTTTAATACCTGGGATTTGCCTTAAAATATTTCCACAAAAAAAGAATGAACAAGAGACAGGGCTGGATGAAGCAAATGTAGGAAAACCTTGAAGATCATAGAGTCTGTGACAAATACACAAAGTTCAATCCATTCCCTCCACTTCTGAGAATGTTTGAAATTTTCGTGAAGCCTGCAGATAACAGTGTTGCCACAGTGCTAATATATAAGCATATTTTGTAGATTTTTCTTTTTTTTACATAAGAATTCTAGGCTTGGGTATCTGGGCGGCTCAGTCAGTTGAGTGCCCAACTTTGGTTCAGGTCATTATCTCACAGTTCATGGATTCGAGCCCTGCATTGGGCTCTGTGCTGACCGTTGAGAGCCTGGAGCCTGCTTCTGATTCTGTGTCTCCCTCTCTCTCTGCTCCTCCCCCACTCATGCTCTGCCTCTCAAAGATAAACATTTAAAAATTTTTTTAATTTAAGAATTCTAGGCTTATTCTCCTAGAACTCACAAATAGTTGCTCATACATGCCATGTGTGCTATGCTACCTTCTCTAAAATGAATCTTTTTGAATCTTTTGCAGAGTGGCCTGACCCCTCTCCACCTGGCTGCTCAAGAAGACAGAGTGAATGTGGCTGAAGTCCTCGTAAACCAAGGGGCAAATGTGGATGCCCAGACAAAGGTATACCAAAAGAAAAAAAAAAAAGTGTCACTGTTTGGTGACTCCTTTAGGGAAATAAGGATAATTTGGTATGGGGAGAACAAATTTTCCATCATATCTTTTATACGTAGCACATCAAACATCTATCTGTGCAAGAGACACCAGAGTCTCTCATTACAGTGTCCTAGATGCTTTTATCTTTAGTGACCTGGGCACTTTATCCCAGCTGCCTATAGATATCCACCCATGTTAACAGTATTGATCCTTGTTATAACCGATCAGTCCTTCAAAGACAAAGGGTAAAATCTTGGACCTTTTTTAGATTTTGTAACTGACTTTAAAAATGTATTTGGACGGGTTACCTGGATGGCTTAGTCGGTTAAGCATCCGACTCTGGCTCAGGTCATGATCTCCCGGTTCGTGGGTTTGAGCCCCGCGTCGGGCTCTGTGCTGACAGCTAGCTCAGAGCCTGGAGTCTGCTTCAGATTCTGTGTCTCCCTCTCTCTCTGACCCTCCCCTGCTCACGCTATCTCTCTCTCTCTCTCTCTCTCTCAGAAATAAATTTTAAAAAAACATTAAAAAATTTTTAAATGAATTTGGAAAAATTTATCAGTAATTTGTGACCTTTAACTTTGTTCAGACATCATCTATAAAAAAGGATAAAATAAGTTTCACTTAATTATTCTTTGCTTGCTAAAATCCTCATGATATGTGTGGTCACTAGCCTCTCCCTCTCTCTCTCTCTCTCTCTCACTCTCACTCTCACTATAATATCTTATAATTCCACAATTTCAAACTCAGATAAGAAAAATGGATGTTTTGTGTCATCAGACATAGAACTTCATATTAATCCCATTTCTCTGAGCATTTTTTCCTTTGGCACCTAGTTTTGCTACTTCTTCACAGCAAATTTGTTTTATCTACTCTAAAATATAACTCTTGTTCTTTCTATATGTCATATTTTTGACACAAAAATGAATGCTTATTAAATATTGTGAATACAGGGGCACCTGGGTGTCTCAGTTGGCTGAGCATCTGAGTCTTTATTTTGACTTAGATCATAATCCCAGGGTCATGGGATCAAGCCCTGCATTGGGCTCTGTACTATGCATGGAGCCTGCTTGGATTTCTCTCTCCCTCTCTCTCTCTGTCCCTTTCCCCACTCTCGCACATATGCTCTTCTCTCTAAAAAAAAAAAAAAGAAAAGAAAAAGAGAAGAAAAGAAAAGAAAAATCATGAATACAAACATTTTGTATATAATATGGATAGCTTCTGAGATATATGGATAAATGCCGAAGATATTAACAAATATAGAAGTATCACCAGGAATTAGCCAAGTCAAAAGAAGTTCAGGGACACCTGGGCAGCTCAGTTGATTAAGCCTGACTCTTGATTTTGGTTCAAGTCATGATCCCAGGGGTCATGGGATCAACACCCCCCTCCCCCTTTCTGGTCAGGCTCTGCATTAAGCATGGAGCCTGCTTAAGATTCTCTCTGTCTCCATCTCTTTCTCTGTCTCTCTCCCTCTGCCTCTCTCCCTCACCCTCTCCCTCAAATTGAAAACATAAAAAAATATTAATAATAAAGTGATATTCAGACATTGAAATCAGACTGGATTTGCCAGGCAAGCACAGAGGGAACAGCCCTGAGTAGACTACACCCTTTGGACATTGTTCGGCCCTCTGTGGCTATGGCTGCTCCACCCATATTGTGTTCTATTAAAAAGAAGCTGGCTGAAAGAGATATGACCAGGCAAGATCCTGTCTGTGTTAAAGCAGTAAAGCAAGTATCATTGTCCCTGGCCAGGACAGCCCAAGGTGGAACTGGGAGATAGGCAAACTCCCCTCCACTTCCCTTTCTGAAATTTCTGTGCCCTTGAGGTCTCCATGCCTCACTTGGTAGCCAGCTTGCTCAGCAATCCCTTCACTCTATTTCCCTTCCATTCTAAAAAATCTCATGGTCCTTGGCCTTGAATGCTTTCCTAGGTAGCAAAGTATTTAACAGAGAAATCCTTAAAGGCACTGGTAGCACCTGAATGGTTTCTTGCTACTTTCCATTCAAAAAATAAAAATATTTTTAATTCTAAAAAAAGAATCAGACTGAGTTTAGCTTGCCATCTTTATTTTATTTATGTTAAATATATTCATCATGTGTTGTTTTATTTACACACACAAACACAGACTTAAACACTTTTTTTGGCTACCTCTTCCTTTACAGATTAAAGATTCCAGGAGGCACAGACAGGGTCAAGTTTCTCCATACGTTTTTGCCCCTGCACATCCAAGACATACACCATAACTCAGTCAAGAAGTGTGGCATTGATTCTCCAGGGCAGTTGGGAGGCAGGACATGGTGTGATGAGCCTTCATGGACATGTGGCCCCTGGGCTATGGGTCTTGGGCCTCTACCAGTGTTTCCTCCTAACCCAGCCCAACTTAGGTCATGGTCACTTCTGTACTTGGCATAATATTTATGAAGCATGTTCCCTTTCCTGCCCTTTACAAGTGATGCACTTTGAAAAGCACCACTCTGCCTCTTACAAATTCTTTTCCCTTTCTTTTTCTTCTCAGCAAAGATCATAGCACCAAAAAACCCTGAGGCTGTGACCATCCTATAGCTGAGTAGAGCAGAAGTGCAGAGGGATAGGTTGTTGGGATTTGCTTTCTAATCTTGTGAATAAGAAGTTTATTCTATGAACTTCCAAATTCTTATTGGTGAAGATGATGTCCCAAAGCAGCGTACTGGTGGAAAGTATGGTACCGTCTGATTCATTGGCTTTAATTTAAAAATGGTAATCATGAAAACATCAACAGAACTTTACTCTTATGGCCAAAAAATTCTCTGAAAATCCTGGTAACAACTTTTTGCAGCCTTCCCACTGGTTTGCTGACATTCTATATCCCCAGCTCTGTATTTGAACTCCACTGAATCAGTTGAGACTAAATTGTGCTGCTGGCCACAGGGTTTAATATTGTGTTGTTAAGCTGAAATAAAGCTATTCCTTTCACTTTTAGAAAGAATAATCTCCTGAAGCATTTTATTTAGACCACCCAAAACACACTGATTATCAGGGGTACTACTTTGAGAATTAATAGTTAAATTCTATTTCTTTAAATGTGAATAAAATAATGAAAAAATTTATTTGATGCTCATTTCACATTCATTTTTTTAGACCTCTTACTTGCCAAGTTCTTAACAGGGCAATATATTCCTTGCTCTCTTTATAGTCTAGAAAAGAAGATATATGATAGTAAAAGTAGTAAAATAATATAGTAATAATATAACAATGTACAGTATAATTATAAATAATAATATAATAAAATGTATTGCCCACCTTCTCTGTGTTAGGTATTAAGTGCTTTACCCTTTATTAATTGGTTTAATCCATACAACTACCCTAGGAGGTGGGTGAAATTAGTATCCCTCTTCCTGTTTTACAGATGAGGAAACTGAGGTACACACAAGTAATTACTTGTACAAAGTCACATAGGTAATTAGTACAAAGCCTGAATTTGACCCCATATATAAATAAATAAATTTCAAAACTATTGGAATTAACTGAATTATTTAATAAAGGTGAGGAATGTAGGAGGGAGCTATAACTGGGTCAATATCACAGAAACATGAGAAAAAACTGGGGCATTTCCCAAGATGCTACTAGAAAATTAAGATTTCAGAGGGCTTGGGGTGCCCGTGTGGCTCAGTTGGTTAAGCGTCTGACTTTGCCTCAGATCGTGATCTTGTGGTTCATGAGTTTAAGCCCCGCATTGAGCTCTGTGTTGACAGCTCAGAGCCTGGAGCCTGCTTCAGATTCTGTGTCTCCCTCTCTCTCTGTCCCTCCCCAGTTCATATTCATTCTCTTTCTCTCTCTCAAAAATAATAAATAATAAAATAAAACTTTAAATAATGAAAAAAATTATTTTCAAAGATTTGAGAGGGTCTTAATGTGCCAGGCTAAGTAAGTTCAGCTTTTTACCCTGTTTGCACTGGGAAGCCATGGAAGGTTTTAAACAGAAGAGTGATAAGATCAGACATCTGGTTTAGAAAGAGCCTAAGAGACGGTGCAAAGACTGCGTAGGTCACAGGAGTTTGGAGCAGGAGGATTTGAAGGCTGTTGCTGAGGTCTAGATGGAGAATAAAGGAGGCCTCTGCCTAGGCGCAGATGGGATATTGATGAACCAGAGAGAAATTTAAGAAATACTTAAAAAACTATCGGGACACCTCGATAGCTATCATTTGAGTGTCTAACTCTTGATTTTGGCTCTGATCATGATCCCAGGATCATGGGATCAAGCCCCACATCAGGATCTGTGTTAAGTGTAGAGCCTGTTTGGGATTCTCTCTCTCTCTCTCCCTCTCTCTCTCTCTCTCTATCTCTCTCTCTCTCCCTCCCCCACCCACCCTCCCTCCCTCACACACACACACACACACACACACACACACACACACACACACACACACACACTGTCTCTCAGGAATGGAAGACCAAATACCTAGGATCAATGATGTTTTAAAAAAGCTATTTGTGAAAATATCTTACAGTCTTCCATGGATCTTTATCTGCCATATTATCAAGTATTATTTAGTATAATATGTGACAATAGTCTTTCACATAGTCGACACATAAAAATTGAAAAAAAATTTTTTTACCTGAAATAAATAAAATCAAGGAGTAGTCGTAGCTGTTCACTGAGGAAGACTATGCCAAGTCCAAGGAAGGCCAAGGATGGACTTGTAGATAAAGAACCACAGATTTTAGGAGGCTGGGAGTTAAGTGTGGATTTCCTACTCCCCTCCCCCAAACCATGTTTGAGTGGGTGCACCTAACTACTACTCAATAAAATAAGGTGCTATGGTATCATGAGTCCAAAACACCAGAATCTCCATCTGCACCTGTTTGCTCTTCATATATAAATACAACCTCTCAGTACTGCCTAAAGGAGAAGGCTTAATTACCACTTGTAATGATGGGATAAATAGACAACAGTGGAAAAAAGAGGCAAAGACTGCTCAGTTAGCTGAACTAGGATTATTTCTTAGCTATTCCAGACAGAGTAGTCGGTTTTTTTCAGAACTGATTGCCGCTAGTTGGAAATAATTTCTCAAATCACGTCCCTCTGAGCATGTTTATGTAAGGTACCATTGAATGTGGGAATTTTCTGACTCAATGAATGGAAGAGACCCAATTTGTTCTCTCTAAATGCAAACTAAATCTTCTCATTTATGCACATGTATTTTTAATACACTACTTAAATGCTGTGAAACACTGAGAAGACCAATGTCTTAGAGTATAACAAACAAGTAAGAGATTGGGAGGAATAAGCTCAGAGATTTAATGCATAGGTGGTGTAGAGGAGGGACCAGATCAGACAGGCCCTAATATCCCATCACAATGACTTAGGGTTTTATAGAAGTAGGATGAGAAGCTATGAGGGTGAGTAGAAATAGCACATTAAAATACTTAAAATCGGGGCACCTGGGTGGCTCAGTCAGTTAAGCATTCAACTCTTGATTTTGGCTCAGGTCATGATCTCAGTTTGCAAGATTGAGCCCCATGTTTCTCCCTCCCTCTCTCTGCCCTTCCCCCACTCATGCGCGCGCTCTCTCGCTCTCGCTCTCGCTCTCAAAATAAATAAATGAAGTGATTCAATTTCCTAAAAATTCTAATTAATAGATGTAGTACAATAGTCATTGGAAACTGCTGTATCATTGCTTAGGCATATTGACTCAAAACATGAAAAGTTTCTTAATATTTAGATTTTTTAAATATTTCTATTTTATATTTTAAAATATATGTTTTTAGTTTGGGATAAATCCTTCACCACTAAAGTCGCCAGTAAGGGTTACTTCAGTTCAGCTAATTGTACTAAGAACTGATTGGAGAAAATTATTTCCATGCCTCCTACACTAAGCAGCATTCTTATTCCTAATGCAGTATCTTGAGTTCTTCAGCATCAAGAAAGAAGCCTGCAGGGGCACCGGGGTGGCTTAGTCAAGCATTTGATTCTTGATTTAGGTTCAGGTCATGATCTCACAGTTTGTGAATTGAAGCCCCACATTGGGCTGTGCGCTGATGGCATGGAGCCTGTTTGGGATTTTCAGTCTCTTCTCTCTGTCTCTGTCTCTCTTAAAAATAAACTTAAAAAAGAAAGGAAGAAAGAGAAAGACACTCCAAAGTAGGTATGACAGTTCTGGTCAGCAACACAGGATCTTCTTTATCTTGCCCGGAACAGCTTTGGGGTTCAGCAGACTCCTATCTATACCTGTCGTTATGGTGAACTTTATCAGTGGGAGTCCAGGCAGTATGGTAACACTGACAGCGTTGTTTGTGGGACAGAATGTGACCACAGTAAGCTCTTTCGGGCAATACATCCCTGGTGAAATGTCTTCAACTTCCACAGTCAGTCGTGGCCTGGCCTTCCCCTTCTCAAATTCAAATACACCAATTTGCAGCATGTCTTTGTCAGTTTGGGCCACTATAACAAGAATACCGTAGAGTGGACAAACTTCCATTTCTCACAGTTCTGACAGTTGGGAAGTCCAAGATTAAAGTGCCAATAGATCCCTCATCTGGTAAGGGACCTATTGCTGGTTTGCAGAGGGCTATCTCATACCTGCTTGTATCCTCACGTGATGGAGGGCAGAGAGAAGAGGCAAGCTCTCTCCTGCCTCTTCCTATAAGGGCACTAATCCCATTTTTGAGGGCTCCACCTAATTACCTGTGACCTAATTACCTCCCAAAGCCTGCATCTCCAAATACCATCATGCTGGGGATTGGGGTTTCAACATATGAATTTGGGGGGATACAGACATTGGGTCAGTAGCATGGAGTCACCATAAAGACACAATAGTGCATCGCACATGAGATACAGACCCTTAAAACCGTGAACTCCCATCTTCCCCCACCCTTCCTGTGCATATTGAGAACGGTTTTTAAAACTCTGTGCTTTTCCCTGTGGTGATCTGGTGCTGCCAGTGTCCTCATAAACAGAGATTAATTGTGGGCACTGAAAAATGGCATGGTGGTGGCTGTTACAATGCGGCCATCTAGAAAAATATCTGATATCCTTATTTTAAAAAATAGTTATACGCACACATATATATGATTCATATATAATCATATATAAATGTAAAGTATATATTTTTAATAGATAGGACTTATGTTCCTCAGCGGTCAGAGGATATTAATTTGGGAAACAACTTATTGCTTTGTCTAAATCAGTTGTTTTCAAATTATGGGACTCTAGCTAGCTGGGCAGCAGACTTGAGCCACAGCTTATACACCTGGATCAAGTTCATGTGTCTCAGTCCTCCTGAAGACCAGTCTCTTCCACTTTAGTGGTTCTGTGCTTCCCATCTCTGTCATGCATTCTGATACTCATACACTGCCTGGCATTATCATTCAGCCACTTCTTGTTTTTTTCTACCTCAATTTTATGCTTTTAGAGAATAGAGTGCTCAGTAAATCCCAGTCCACATCTGTCCACAGAACACTCTTCCTATCCCTCCCCACGAAGCCACTGAATTACTCCATCCAGACTGCCGACTGCCATGTTTGCTTTCTATCTTGAAAAGTTGGTGTGAGAATAAACTGAGTTGATGTAAGAGAGAGCCCTTTGGGAAGTTCATAACTACTTACATATGACCTGGTACTATTTTTTATACCTAACACTAGCACTGAGAAATATTAAGGGCATGTTATATATGTATATATACGGGGGACTTACTTTTTGCCAGCTCAAAAAGACAGGTTAAATAATACTTTTGCTTCTATTTAGGAAAGCTGTTACTGAAAGTATACTTATGAGGTTTCTTTTCTAAAAAATATAATTACAGATGGGATACACACCTCTCCATGTGGGCTGCCACTATGGAAACATCAAGATTGTTAATTTCCTGCTCCAGCATTCTGCAAAAGTTAATGCCAAGACAAAGGTAAACTCTTTTCTTCTTTGTATCCACCAAAGTCATTGATTTCTGTGTCCAAGGAAGTAAGTGTCCTTTCTTCCATCTTCCTTCTACAGAATGGGTATACACCGTTACATCAAGCAGCTCAGCAGGGACACACGCATATAATAAATGTCTTGCTTCAGAACAACGCTTCCCCCAATGAACTCACTGTGGTAAGGGGGAAGGGAAGAGGGAGGCTAAAGGAAGAGGAAGGAGATGACCCTTGATGCTGGAATCTTCTTACATGTTTCACTGGGCACCAATGCTGCTGTTTTACTTTCATTTATAGGTATAAACAGAGCATTCAGTGGAATTCAGGGCAAAGGACAATAGCTATATTGTGACCCGTCGAGAGAGAGATGTGATTAGTTTTTCACACTTAAAAACTACAAGTCCATTGCCATCTCATAGGAAATACATATATAAAATAAAAAACATGCTTGTTTTCTTGATGATTTAGAACATTAGAAAGCCTCTTGGATCCCGTGTATAGCAGCCGGGTCTCTGCTGTGTGAGTGGGAACAGGTTAGGTGGGTTTTGTGCAAGGTATGTCTCTAATGAAATAGTGTTTTGTGTGTGACAGTGGGTGGGACCAATGAGACACTCGTCTTCTGTGTAGTATGGGTGAAACATGTGGGCGCACACAGGCACTGAGACTCGGGGAATGACTTGTTAATTCTTTGTCCTCGTTTCCCTCTGGCCAGAATGGGAACACTGCCCTCGCCATTGCCCGGAGGCTTGGCTACATCTCAGTGGTCGACACCCTGAAAGTAGTGACTGAGGAAACCATGACCACGACTGTAAGTAACAGATTCGGGACCTCGTCCCCTCAGTGCCAGCTTTCAGGCTGTAGATTTTCCAGGAACTTACTTTGCCCTATTTACAGACTAAGTTCCATGTTACGAAATGCTGTCATTCTCGTTTCAGATATTGAGAAACTAAATATTAAAAATACCTTTTTAAAATATGCATTAGGACCTATAGAGTTTTTTGCTCCATGTGAAGCTAAATGTATGTATTAATTTGTTTTGCTGTAAAAATAGTTTTAATGAAGTGAAGGCAGAAATATTTTCACATTGTTCTTTGGCAATGTAGGGAAGTTGAAGATAACTTGGTTCTTTACAATGTTATGACTCATAAATGGTAATGGATACGTTGCCATCATTGTAAAAACACTTTTTACATTGTTGCAAAAATAAAACATTAGGGAGAGGATCCATTTTTACCACTATCCTCACTACTCTTCCAGTCAGCTATTAGAGTTTTCATAGGAAAAACAATAGGATGTTTTATTAAAATTATAAATAAATCTTTACCAGGAGGCCTTATTGCGTCAGATACGTTTTTATAAGCTGCAGCCTCTGGGATAAGTCATTTCTTATTAACAACATCTGGAGCCTTTGAACTGCATCAGGATTTGGTAACTTTGGAATCAAGAGCAGATATTGCACCATATCACAGGCTTATTGGAGTTATTCCTGACTTAATGACTCAACACACATGCCTGAGATTGGCTCCGTACAATGTAAATTTAGGACTCTGGAACATTGGGAATTATCAGCTCTGCCTCCTTGTCTCATCCACCTTTCGATGTGAAGAAAGGCATAGTTAGCATCTGCACACAGTTTGTATACACAGTGCTTCACGTAAAAGAACGCGGGGTTGAGGATCTCTGCAGCAACCTGCGGGCTGAGTTATATGCAGGCTTTACAAACTAAAATACTAAGCCTGCTGATCACAAGAGAGAAATTATGTAATTTGCAAAAGAGAAAGCAGTAACTTCAATGGACTAGAGCAATGGTTAGCAAACAGGGCATATTTCTAACTTTAAGATATAGTTTGTATAGAGATAAATTACCACATATTGCTTTTCTATACCTCTTCAGTATTTCATGATCTTAAAATCTGGTATTAAATACTTGAAAAAGGAGTTTAAACAAATAATGTTTAGTAACCTTAATCTTGGAAATATTCCATCTAGCTCTCTGTAGGGTGTGACAAAAAGAGGGAGAAGGACAAAGTATTAAATAATTGCTAAGTGTCATAATGCTATAAAACATTTGAAGTCACTGTAATAAGTATATAGAACTTCCTTTCCGGTGTTGGAGAATTGAAATGTGTGTAATAGTTAAAAATATAAATCTTATTTATCAAATGTAAATAACTTTCTCACCCATTGGGAAAGTTCAGAATGTTTCTTTAATATCAAAAAAAGCTTCAGAAGGGGCACCTGGCTGGCTCAGTCAGTAGAGCATGTAACTCTCCATCTTGGGTTGAGTGTTCGAGCCCTATGTTGGGTGTAGCTTCAGGAGAATGTACGTAAAGTTATAGCCTCAGGATATCTACTGAAAGAAAAGTGTTTCAAGGCTCTGGTTCCTAGTGAAAGATAGAACAAGTATCAGAATCAGGCCATCGCTCTCAGTATCACCCGCTGAATTGACTGGTAATTTCTGCAAGAGAGAGAAGATAGGGCTCGTACTGACAGGAAAAGTCCAGTTGGCCTAATGAAGTGAATTAGGCTTCCATGAAATGAAGTGCTCCCATAGGTTAGGAAAGAGTCCATTGTTGTCCCTAAGACTTAGTCCAGCATTGTGGTATTTGAGACTTTATCTCAAGCTGAGACACAAACCTTGTCAACTCTGCCTTAGCGGATGCATATAACCTGGCACAGGTGAGGACTGACACAGCTCAGGGTAGAGTCTGTGATCTCAAGCTCACTAAACACAGGGCAGCCTCCACTGTCGACGGGTCTTTGCACAGCCAGTTGCTAGGCCCCAGCAGCCATCAGCTCCATAAGCAGACATCTGTTTTTTCAAAAAACTTAAAGAAAAGATTCATCTTCCCTACAAGCACAATGTATGATGTGGCAAGTCTAAGAAAGATGGCTTCAGTTAATTACATTACCGTCATGGCAGGGTAGAAACTGTCTTAGGACCCAGAAAACTGAACGTCAGTAGAAGCTGACGTTCGAAAGATGAATGAAGCATTTAAATTGCATTGTTTAAAATATTCAGTTTCTCTCATTAGCAAAGAACAGAGCACACCTATCTCTCAGATACTGGTGTCTATACTATTCTGTAGTAAAGGGATTCAGGGCTTCTTGAGAAATGGTTGAATCTAGATCTGGAGAAGGAAATACACAAGATGAGTCTGGAACGTCTTCTGGTGCCAAAGCGTAAGGAAGTGTCTGCTCTCACAAATAAGTAAATAAACACACACATACACAATGATGGAGCTATGTCACAGGGATGCAGGAATCAACTGAAAAAGTTCCCAATGGCCAAAGCTGGAACAATGTAAGACAGATAGAGAGATACAAAGAGAGAGAGAGACAGACAGACAGACAGACAGACTCAGAGTGTAGTGCAAAGTATAAAGTAAATATCCATGAGTCGGTACTGATATAGATAAATATAGATACTGATGTAGATAAATGATTGAATAAATAGGGAAGAAGTGTCAAATCTGGAAAAAAAATTCAAACAATTTATGAAAATACTTTCCTGCAAGGTGTAAAACATAACTCTCTTAACTGTTAAGAGACTTAAACTTAAGTGTCGCTGAGCATAGTGTTTTCCCTCCAAAGAAAACAGTGTGGGAAGGGGGAGGGGGAACAGAGTAACTTTACAAGCACTGCCTCAGCCAGGCGCGCATGCCCAGTACCAACACTGGTAAATCGTGTTGGTCGTATGTACCCTTGACATAATGTGATGAAATTGGCACTTTACCTCTGTGGTCTTCCTTCCCAGAACATGTGACCCAATCCAATCATGAGAAAAACATGAGACAAATCCCAGTTGAGGGACATTCTACAAAATACCTGACCAGCTCACTTCTAAACTGTGAAGGTCATTAAAAGCCAGGAAAGTCTGAGAAACTGTCACAGCCATAGGAGCATAAGGGGAGCTACCAGCTAAAGATAATGTGGTGTCCTGCCAGGTCCTCAGACAGAAAAGAGACTTTTGGTAAAATCTAAGGAAATACGAATAAAATTTAGAGTTTAATTAATAGTAATATGTGAGTATTGGTTCAGTAATTGTGACAAATGTACCATAGTTTTAACAGCCTTGCTTTTTTTCCAGTTGCCTTATTTAAGCATCTTCCCTTGTTCTATTAGACTTTCATATGCTCAGAATAAAAAGAGGACTTGTTTTTCAACTAAAACATTAAGTCACTAATATTTTTTAACAAGTTATGTTGTCAGTGGCTTTGGATGGATGTAATCTATATAGGTAAAAACTCATCAAAGAGCAAGTAAAATATTCACTAAGCCCTTTGCTCTGTAATATACAGTTCTTTAAAATTGTGTGGAGGTTAAAATGATCTTGCAAATGCATTACCTCTAAGATATTTTCTGCAAGGCATAGTTGCACACATTACATAATTTATACAATCTTAATGTTTTGTATTTAGGTTAGGAATTAAAATGTGCATATAGAAGGGCAAGACAAAAATCAACGGCTGGCATGGTACAACAATAACGACACAATGCTTGCTGTTCATGGGGCTTATCTTCAGCCAAGACTTTTAGTAGAATGAGGTGGTAGGTTCATCAGACCATGAAAAAGTGTAACAATAGATGAGGAGAAGCAATATCTCTTTTCTCTTTTCCTTCGAACAGCCTTATTATGGACCTAAATCTTTTAAGCCAGTTTGTTTTGCCACTAGAATTCTTTCACTTTGTATTTGTTCCTAACAGTGTGTATATGGTGAGGACCTTAATGCTAAGGGACAATTTTGATGTCATTTTATATGTGTGAGTCTCAAAATAGTTAGCACATAAGTCCTGTAATAAATCAACTGATTAATTTAGAAAGAAATAGTGTCGTTAAAATGTTCAGTCCGCTAACACTAAAGTGGCTGCTTTTTTGTTTGTTTGTTTCTAGACTATCATAGAGAAGCACAAAATGAATGTTCCAGAAACGATGAATGAAGTCCTTGATATGTCTGATGATGAAGGTATGAAAACCACCTTTGCGTTCATAATGAAGTGTGACTTTGTATTTGTTTCCTGAAGAACATTTATTGGAAAAATGTTTTTAGAAATGTTCATGTGTTTTCATGTGTATATAAAGAGTATACATTATTCACACACTTACATTGTTCACTTAAATCATGCAGTTCGTAAAGCCAACGCCCCTGAAATGCTCAGTGATGGCGAATATATCTCAGATGTTGAAGAAGGTATTTGTGACTTTTTACTGTGATAAAATTTAACTACCAGCTTTATCTTCCATTTCCTATCTTTGAAATGTAACACTTCCTTGAGTTACTAACTTTTCACTTAGCTTATTATTATTAATTTACATATCATTTAAAAGATGTGCATTTGGTATTAGTGTCTTTGTCTCTTTGAAGCCCCTCTCCTTGAACCCATTTTCCAACTTGAAAATTCAGTTGTCACTAATTATGTGAATTGTTTTCTTTCTTTTTGTTTCTATTGAGCAGAAACCTGATTTATATTGTTTACATTTGAAAATCTAGAAGAGAAAAATCTGATTAATGTTTAGACCTAAAATATTTTTTTAAATAAGTGAGAAAAGGTATCTTATAGGTAAGGGATTAAATGCCCATTTTAAAGTTCACTCTAAGCTTCATAGTAAAAGCAGCTTTGGAACTAATAATGAAAACCCAACCTGAAGAAAACTGCTTTCAAAATATAAATTTTCAATATTGATTTCATGAAAGAGATCAATATATAAATGCTGGTAGTCATACTTCATTTGCTTAAAAGAAACTACTTGTTTTCTGCCTTATTTAAAAATCAATACATTTGACCAGCTCATGACATACAGATATATTAATTAATGATAACTTAAAAATTGCATTGGAAAAGTAGCATTTTTACAGGGTATAAGTATTATAAAGATGGCAAACTCAACAGTTTTACTGGAATAAAGAAATGTGTACTTACAGTAGAATTTATATTATATTTATGTTTTTTTCTTGCAACATTTGACTCTCCCAAACTGCATCTGTCTTCTTGCTCCCGGTATTTACCATCTCTTATAGATTTTTCTCATAGAGCAGACTCAATGGTCTTAGTCTTTCTCTGCGGTTAGGTAATTTTCCCTATTTTAATTATTGGTTTCAACTTTGAGTTGCACAGATGTAATTTAAAATCTAAATAGCGGAAAGCCTACATAATCCTAAATAACTTCAACGTTTTCGGCATACTATGACTGCCTACTATAAGTGAGCTGTGGCCACTGGGCTGCGAGCCTAGAGGAACTAATGCCCTGGTGGTCATTTAGGACCTGGAAGGCCATGTCTCATTGTTTGTAAATGTCATGTTGATAAATGTTAAAGGCTTTTACTCATTTTTTCTTTCCTTTTGTTTAAATCATTAGCTACATGTGTACCTCTGTCCTATCACCAATTGTATATTTATATCATCTTTAGGACTTTAAGAATATTATACCTTACTGTCATTATATTTCAATGTCTTCTTAGGAGTAATTTCTTATGTGCAAAAGATAAGAGGAAAGTGATGTTCTCACATGGATCTGTACACACATAAAACATGTCAAAAGTACATTTTCAAATGAGATTTTATGAAATATAATATGACAGTCACAGACCTAAAAATTTACTAGCTTTGATGAAATATCCCAATACTTGCATTGATGAGAGGCCAAGTTTGAATGGACGAAATAACAGCTTTATATATGTGAATAACCAGATAATTTCCATAAAAGGAGAAATTTCGAGTCTTTTAATGTGAAGAGAATTCATCTAGCCACTTAACTAGAAATGACAGTGATTTCTTATACATTTATCTCAGCTTGAGATTTTGAAATTAATAAACAAATTTCAATTCTCATTTTATTCATCTTCCTTTAAACTCTTTGGCCCTTGCTGTATGGGTATGTCCATAGGCTATGAGAATAAAATGACTTTTGATTTCATAATATTTTAGAATTTAATGTTGGAAGGGGTTCCTAAAAGGTCACTTGATCTGAACAATAACCTTCTATATTGGGATCACCTCTATAAAATCCTCTTAAAGGAGATCTTTTGCCCAGAAGCCTCAATGACAGAAATTCCCTAATTCCCAGGCTGCATTTTCCATTGACAACAACTCTGATTTTAAAAATTCTTCATTTTATTGAGTATCCTTCTCATTGATTCAGGCTTCTACTCATTGATTCAGGCTCTGATATATTTGGCACTATTTAAAACAAAATCTGCCTCTTCCATGTGATAATCCTTGTGATATTTAAAAAACATGTTTCCTATTTCTTCTTAGTCTATTTTTCTCTAATACCACCCCTTCCACTGCTCCCTCACAGTCATGGCCAGTCTCCTATGTACATTTCAGTGTTTCAATTTCCATCTCAAATTGAGATGACCAGAATAGACTATAGCATTCCAAGTATATTCTGATCAAAGCAGAGTAATGCAGGACCATTGCTTTGTCCATGGATGATATTAAAAATCTATTATTGAAGATTAAGATGTTTTTGAGGTTGGGGCACCTGGGTGGCTCAGTCAGTTGAGTGTCAGACTTCGGCTTAGGTGTCAGACTTCGGCTTAGGTCACAGTCTCATGGTTTATGAATTCAAACCCCACATGCGGCTCTGTGCTGACAGCTCAGAGCCTGGAGCCTGTTTCAATTCTATGTCTCTGTCTCTGTCTCTGTCTCTGTCTCTCTCTCTCTCTCTCTCTCTGCCCCTCCCCTGCCCACACTCTCTCTGTCCATCTGTCTGTCTGTCTCTCTCTCTCTCTCAAAAATGAATGAATATTTTAAAAATTAAGATATTTTTGAGATTATAATACTCACTTAATTTGACTCCTGTAACAGTACTGTCAGCTAATGTTCCTAAATGTTGCTTACATGAGCTCTGATAAGCCATATCTGCCTTTATCATGTATTTACATCGTTCTGTGCTGAATAAACTAGCATTTCTGTATTACTCCAAATCCCAAAACAAATTACTTTGAAATTTTAATTCTAAAAGGACCCCTACAACTTTAATGATAGCTTTTACTTCTGACTCATTTGCCTTATAGTCTTGCCAGTGCTTTGACACTTGAGTTGGATTCTGAGCTGCTCATTTCAGGAAGCCCTTACAGACAGTGGCAAATGTTTATTTCCATGTAACCACAAGAGTATTGTGAATACCTTTTTTTAAAATCAGTAAGAGATCATCACACTGGTATCCTATGTTATTGAGGATATCAACAGCTTTTAGAAGCAATAAAAATGAAAAGCGATACTCACTGCCAGTTTTTCTCAAGAAAAAGGAGAATGAATTTGGAATATGGAAAAATACAATTTTAATCCCATATTATAAAAATTGAGTACATACTAAAGGAATTGTGTGAAGAGTAGTTTTTCTAGCCCTTCTCCTTCTTTTTCTTCTTTGCTTTCTCCTTCTCTTTCCCCTCTCTCTTTTGTCCACTATGAGAAATTAGTATAGGTAAAAGAATGTTTGCATTAATTTCATACACTAAAAAATCGAGAAAACAAATCTACACAATGTTATCAGTTAATGCTATAGGGGAACAATGGAGCCAAGTTACAGAGTAGAATAAAGGCTGAAGTATCAGCACAGCAGAGGAATAGAAGGAAAGGTGATCAAGCAGCCTCCTCTAACCTAGACTTATCCAGGCAGAGCTGCTAGAGGCTCAGACCGTTCCACAAATATCTTAATGCCCCACTATCTTCTTTCCCAGAAAACATGTCACATGCATGTAAATTATTATACACGCAGAATTAATGCTGGTTCTGGTGCCAGTTACATTCTTAAGTTTTGCAACTCAGTTTATAATTTAAAAGAAAGAAAAAAACAGATGAAAGAAGGAGAGGGAAGAGGAAGGGAGGGAAGAAAGAAAAAGAAGAGAGAGAGGAAGGAAGAAAAGAAAGAAGAAAATTGAGATTAAGTTTCAATCTGTCTTCTATTCTGGGTCTCCCTCCCACGGATTTTAGAGTTGGCTGTGATTCAGTGCTGACTTTAAATTGTAAATTCCTATAAAGTATATTTTGTAAATTTTTAAATAATGTATAAAATGATGTTTTAGCTTGCAGAGTTCTAGTGGGCTGGGTTATAGTAACAGATTTAAAGAGCCATAAATGGGACATAATGAGAAATGGAATTAAACCATGGAAAGTAAGTCAAAGGCAGCTCTGTGGAATATGACTCTTTGAATAGTTTTGGGAAATAACTGGGTGAGACTGGGAAAAATCATTTAATTCTTAGCTACTTACAATTTTGATAGGGCTACAAAATCTCTCCCAGGATCCAATGCAGACACTGAAAAGGAAAAGGATAAAAAGAAGAGTCTGAGTATACATGTGTTAGAAATCGTTACCAGACAGGAAGAGGTTTGAGATAAAATGTCGTTAGATGTTAGTGACATGAGAAGTGAGGAGAATCATGCCCAATCCTCTCTATGCCAAATTTAGTGCCCAGTGAACTGAGTCAGTGTCATATAGCTCACGCTCTCCACTATACTGATGAGGTAGCAAAGCCCAAATTAATGTTGAATGGCTTGCCCATGTGGGTTAGTGGCAGAGCCAAACAGAAAGACAGATCGGACAGTCTGGTGCTAGTTCTTCTCTTTCATTGCTACTCTAACATGATCTGTTTTCATATATCCATATACCCAGAACCCAAAAATGTATTATTTTTTAAACTTTTAAAGGTTTTATTTTATTTTATTTTTTAATTTTATTAATGTTTTATTTATTTCTGAGAGAGAGAGAGAGAGCAGGGAGGGGCAGAGAGAGAGGGAGACACAGAATCTGAAACAGGCTCCAGGCTCTGAGCTCTCAGCACAGAGCCCGACACGGGGCTCAAACTCACAAACTGTGACATCATGACCTGAGCCAAAGTTGGACACTTAACTGGCTGAGCCACCCAGGTGCTCCACTTCTAAAGGTTTTAAAAAGGGAAATATTAGGAAAAGGAACAGATTATGCTCTTGGATATTATCACAAGATAATAATAATTATGTTTAATGACCTTGATGAGACCTATAATAGAAACAGTTTCCTTTCTTCTGACCATCCTGGTAAAAGAAATATGCAGACATAGATGCAAATGCAAGTAAAATAAACATACATGGAATTTAGAATAGAATTTTAAAACTCAAAGCAAGTAATTTTAGTAAACATATCTGAGTCTTCTCAATTAGGAGAGAATAAGTAGAATTTGAATGGCACAATCTGAAACTTAAAAATGGAGGAGAAATTACTTCAGGAGACATGAAGACAGATATCAAGGGAACCACTACAAAGATGCTCTTTTAGGACCTCTTGTCACAAGTGCCTAGGACTGTCTTGCTATCCTAATCCCCTGCTCATGCTAATAAATAAGTCAGGCAATGAAGTTTTTAGCTTTATAGATCTGGAAAGAAGCCTGGGAGTCTAGCCTGGTACAAGGGAGTGGTGGTGGTTGTGCAGAAATTGTTCTTTACCTGAAAGAAATGTTATCATTTTATAAATGATAACATGATTATCATAACATCTAACATGTTATCATGTTATCATAACAGCCTTTGTCTGATATTTCTCTGCTTACAATTGACCTTTCAAACAGACATTATGTAACTGCATGCTTCCTTCGGTGACAAAGTCAAAATGAAATACCAGAAGCAGAAACCAAGTCTTATTATTCTTTGTTATATCCCCAGAACTTAGCATAGTGCCTGGTACACAGGAGATCTTCAATATGTGTTTTGGTGGTGTACACAGTGGACGGAGACTCAAGGAAAGGAAAGGTTTCTGAGAGCTGGCAGGATAGAGAAAATTTACCTGCCATGCGCCTCTTCCTTTCAGTAAACACCTTCCCACTGAGACAGTGCTGGGCTATGTATTGTGTCAATAAACAGCTTTATAATGACTCTCCTAAAGTGGATCTGCATCTCAAAGAATAGTTAACAAATTTACAATAATTTCCGGTGAAAGAAAAAGATCTGTGAACTGGGCCAGAAACCTTTATTCTAAAATACAGTCCATCCTATGTTTGGTATCTTGTCTTTTTGGTTTTGGAATTGTTCAGTGATATTTATTCGCACCATCCACCCACCCGTCTACGTACCTGACATTTCCATCTAGATTCTCATAGACATCTTAACTCATCATGGCCCAGACACCTGCTCCAAGCAAAGTCTCCATCTCAGTAAGTGGCTCCATCACACAAGCCAGCCCTGAGGTTCTGTGTAAACTCTCTTTTCTTAGCACTCATGCCCAGTCCCTCAGCAAGTCCTATCAGTTTTCCAGCACCCATCTCACGTCCCTCTTCTCTGCCTTCCCACTGCCATCACCCTCACTGAATCCCAAGTACTCTGTTCTCCCGTGGACTACTGCAGGCACCTTGGTACATGGCCTCACATCTTTCCCCACAGACTCAGCTCTCTGCACAGCATCCTCAACGATCTTTTAAAAATATAAGTTGAATCATATCATTCCATTCCCCAGCTTAAAATACTCCCAAGCATGGGGTACCTGGATGGCGCAGTCTGTTGAGCGTCCAACTTTGACTCAGGTCATAATCTTGCAGTTCATGAGTTGGGCCCTGTTTCAGGCTCTGCACTGACAACTCAGAGCCCTCTCTCTGCTCTTCCCCTGCTTGCACACTCTCTCTCTCTCTCTCTCCTAAAAATAAATAAACATTAAAAAATAAAAATACATTCCAAAGCTATAGTTATGTTTTTAAAATTCATTCATGCAATTGCATATAACCATGGCTCACTTGTTTGTATTTCTATACAATATTCCACTGTATACGTCTGTACCATAGGTAAGTTATCCATTTCACTTGGAAATGGAAATGTGGGTTGTTTCCAGTTTGGGGTTGCTGCAACCAAAGTTGCTACAAGGCTGCTTTTATCTGTCCCCAGGGACATGTCTGCATATATTACTGTAGGGTATAGAACTATGACCGTGGTTGCTGGGTTGTACATTATTCAGAGGCAACAGAATTCAAAGTCAGGGGATAGTAAACTAGGATTATAAAATTGTTGAGTCTATTTAAAAAAGGCAAGGGAAAGAATGTTATAAAGTGATTACCATGAGAGAGTGAGGAAAAGACTGTGATTGGGATAGGATATGTTCTAGTTCTTGACCTGGAGATGCTCTTTTGTAACAATTTATGAAAGTGTGCATTTACATTTTATGTATTCACCTGCCTGGTTGCTATATTTGCTGGTGAAAGTAGCCAGCCCTTCTAATATAGTATAAATACAAAACTCAAATAAAAAACCTCCCAAGGCTTTACATTGCACTTGAAACAGAACTCGGGCCCTTCCATGGCCAATAAGTTTGGTGTGCTATGGCCCCAACAACCTATTTTCCACTGTCCTCTCAATCGCTTTTTAACTTTGTCCTAAAAGTCATCTCAAGGCACTGACTGGCCCAGTCAGTGGAGTATGCCACTCTTGATCTCAGGGTTGTGAGTTTGAGCCCAACACTGGGTGTAAAGATTACTTAAAAATAAAATATCTTTTTTAAAAAAAAGGTACTTACCATTTATTGAGCCCTTTCGATGTGCCAGGCATGAATCTATATACATTTCATGCATTATGTCATTTAACCTTCACAGTAACCTCAGAATTAGAGCCATTGGTATTCCCACTTCATAGATGTGGAAAATCAGCTCCAGCAAGGTTAACAACCTTGATCAAGAGTACACAAATCAGTTCAAGGAATTATACTCAAATCCCTGCCCTTAACCTCTGCTCTGACATTCATGGTACCTGGTAATTTAGATAACAGTCCCACAACTGTTGGATTATTGCAAAATTTAAATGAGATCATGTATAAAGGGATCTCAGTGAATGTTAGTTACAAAGTACCTTATCTTGCTTAATTTTCTCAAATATTTTGAAAAATTATTGGTATTATTTTTATTCCTGATTTACATTTGCTCTTAAACTAAAGCCCTAACTTTAAGTGTTATTAGTTCTAATTTATGTTAAGGAATTAACATAGATTAGAGGCTCAAAGGGTTTAAGAAATTTGTTAAGGTTCACATAGTCAAGGAAACTGGAATTTGAATTTAGTTTTTTTACTCAAATTTCTACTCAAATTTGACGTGATAGAAAAGAATAGATATAAGTGAAAAGGAAATTCAAAAGAATGAGAGATTAGTAAAGATCTCAGGAAGAAAGCATTTCAAGGAATAGATAGAATGTAGACAAGTAGAAATTTGGGCAGGTGGAAAGAGGTGTTCTAAGTGCAGAAAGTTTTGGAAAACGGGGCCTGGCTGGCTCAGTTGGAAGAGTATGTGACTCTTGATCTTGGATAATGGGTTTGAGCCCCACATGGGGTGAAAAGATTACTTAAATAAAACTTAAAAGAGAGAGAGAGAGAGAGAGGAAAGCAGAGGACTTCAAAGAAGAACTCAGCACAGAGGGGTGGGGGAAACCAAACACAGGCCTGAATGAGAACCCCAGGAAATGCCATAGGGAGGATGAGAAGCAGTTCTAGAAAACTCCAGGCACATTAACATGTACAGAGAAAGAGGAATGCCAAGGGATATGGAGGGGGAGCTGTGAGGAAGTAAACCAAAAAAGGCTGGGAGATTCCCTGACGGGGTCCAGTTAGCTGAGCACAGGCAATCTGGGGATCCCTGGGGATGTCAGGCAGCCACCACGTCCATGACATTGTGGATATAGACACAGAATAGTGTAGTTCTAATTGAGTGTGTGCATTTTTTCTCCAAAGAAGTAGTGACAGGATGAGTAGCAGCTGCAGTGGCCTGTGGAATGAACAGACACAGGGATTGATGGCAGGGAATTAAACATGCTTATTGTTTAAGGACAATAGGTGGTTTTTTCATTTGGATAAAGCAGGTTGTAATTTTGAATACGCTTCCTCCCTTCACCCTCCAATGATTTCAGTCCGTGCCCATCTACCTGGAAAGTCTGACCTGCTTCTTGTGGAAGTAGGTCCTAATTTGATCACCCCCTAACTCTTTCCCTTCACATTGGAAACCTTGCTGCAGAGAGAAGAAAGTGGAGCATTAGCCCTGGGAATGGACGGGAAAGGGAAGGTAGAGCAGTGCAGAGAGCCAGGAATAGGAGGGTGTGGAGAAGCAGGGCAAGATGCTACACGTGGTGAGAGTTGCTCTGACTACCTGGGCCAGAACCAAAGTGAGGATAACTGACAGCAGACCCCACCTGTCTTTACCTTTCAAGCACACATCTTTTAGAGGTAGGAAATATACGTAACATGAGCAAGAGGCCAAATGCTTGCTCACAAAGCACGTGAACTCCTGATACTCCTTTATTCCTAGGGACAGTGAACATG